CGTTAGGCACTTCTATATATCTTGTATATATTTCTATAGGGTTTCAAACGTGACGTTTGGCAGTTTTCTCGTTTATATAGCACCAATGGGTGTCAAGAACATGGGCAAGAGCACGCAAAAGGTGCACATAGCCAGTAGCTAGCAGCCAGCGCCAGTAGCAGCCAACAGCCAGTAGCCAGCAGCCTACTAAAAATCTAAATTTTTCTAGGATTTCAGACGACACGTTAGGCACTTTTTGGGCGTGGTTCTGGCACTCACTCGTCCTTCAGAGCCCTGGTGTTTTCCCCCGGGAGGTGATTTTTTCGAAACTGTTTTACTGCTAGCAGCCTCCAGCAACAGAATCTGTCGAAAAATTGTGTTTTTCTAGGATGTCAGACGACACGTTAGGTACTTCTATATATCTTGTATATATTTCTATAGGGTTTCAGACGTCACGTTTGGCAATTTTCTCATTTATATGGCACCAATGGGTATCAAGAACATGGGCAAGAGCACGCAAAAGGGCAGCAGCAGCAGCAGAAGCAGCAGCAGCAGCAGAAGCAGCAGCAGCAGCAGCAGTTGTTTCTTGCTTTGGAAGCTGTTTGATTGCAGCAGCACGACAGCAGCACCACAGCAGCAGCAGCCACCAGCAGCAGCAGCAGCAGCAGCAGGCAGCAGGCCGCCGCAGGCAGCAGCAGGCAGCAGCAAGCATCAGTAGGCAGCAGCAGACACAAGCAGACGCAGCAGCAGTACGCGCAACGGCAGCAGTGCAGCAGCTAGCAGCACGAAAAATTATGTTTTTCAAGGATGGCACCAATGGGTGTCAAGAACGTGGGCAAGAGCACGCAAAAGGTGCACATAGCCAGTAGCTAGCAGCCAGCGCCAGTAGCAGCCAACAGCCAGTAGCCAGCAGCCTACTAAAAATCTAAATTTTTCTAGGATTTCAGACGACACGTTAGGCACTTTTTGGGCGTGGTTCTGGCACTCACTCGTCCTTCAGAGCCCTGGTGTTTTCCCCCGGGAGGTGATTTTTTCGAAACTGTTTTACTGCGAGCAGCCGTCAGCAACAGAATCTATCGAAAAATTGTGTTTTTCTAGGGTGTCAGACGACACGTTAGACACTTCTATATCCGCCGACCCCGGCAGACGCAAGGGGGAGCGCGCCAGGGAATAAGACAAGCAAGTTTAGCCGCACCAGCAGCAAGAGTAGCGGCAGTGGCAGTAGCAGCGGCAGCAGCGAGTCCAGCACTAGCAGTAAGAGCAGCGGCACCAGCTAACGAGCAGCAGCCAGTAGCCAGCAGTACGCAGGCAGCAGCAGCAGTCAACATTGGATTGGATTGGATTGGATTGGAGATTTCTAGATTTCTAGCAGGATATAGCAGGATAAGAACAAGTTTTTGGTAGGATTTCAGAAGGGACGTTCCGGCCTCCGGGGAACCTGTTCTTGCGATTGATTTTGCGTCATTTGCGGCACGAAATTAGGTGGTGTTTTGCCGTTTCGGCTGTGAGCTGGCAGCAGCAGTCAACATTGGATGGATTGGATTGGATTCGATTTCTAGCAGGATAGCAGGATAGCAGGATTCGAGGGGATTTCTAGTAGGATTTCAGAAGGGACGTTCCGGCCTCCGGGGAACCTGTTCTTGCGATTGATTTTGCGTCATTTGCGGCACGAAATTAGGTGGTGTTTTGCCGTTTCGGCTGTGTTTCGAAAAAGGTGTCTGCCTGTTGGTTTCTTGCTTGAGCAGCCACAAGCCCCGGGGCAGCATGTTTTTGGAGGTTCTAGTAGGATTTCAGAAGGGACGTTCCGGCCTCCAGGGAACTTGTTCTTGCGATTGATTTGGAGGTCGTTTCGTCCTTCAGTAGCATGGTGTTTTGGTGTGGCGAAGGGTGCGTTTTGGAGGCTTGCAGCACCACCTCTAGTAGCAGCACCAGCAGCAGCAGCAGCAGGAGCAGCAGCAGCAGGCCCAGCAGCTGCAATCGCTTTGTTTTTTCCAGAATCCAGAAGGGGCGTCAAGCCCCGGGGCAGCATGTTTTTGGAGGTTGTTCCGTCCTTCAGTAGCATGGTGTTTCGGTGTGGCGAAGGGTGCGTTTGGAGGCTTGCAGCACCACCTTGAGCAGCACCACCCGCAGCATGCAGCAGCAGCAGCAGCAGCGGCAGGCCCAGCAGCTGCAATCGCTTTGTTTTTACCAGAATCCAGAAGGGGCAGGCCCAGCAGCTGCAATCTCTTTTTTTTCCAGAATCCAGAAGGGACGTCAAGCCCCGGGGCAGCATGTTTTTGGAGGTCCTAGTAGGATAGCAGGATAAGAGAGGATTCTAGCACGATAGCAGGATAGGATAAGAGATGATTTCTAGTAGGATTTCAGAAGGGACGTTCCGGCCTCCAGGAGACTTGTTCTTGCGATTGATTTGGAGGTCGTTTCGTCCTTCAGTAGCATGGTGTTTTGGTGTGGCGAAAGGTGCGTTTTGGAGGCTTGCAGCACCACCTCTAGTAGCAGCACCAGCAGCAGCAGCAGCAGCAGCAGGCCCAGCAGCTGCAATCTCTTTTTTTTTCCAGAATCCAGAAGGGACGTCAAGCCTCTGGGCAGCATGTTTTTGAGAATCTTTCCGTCCGTCAGTAGCATGGTGTTTCGGTGTGGCGAAGGGTGCGTTTTGGAGGCTTGCAGCACCACCTCCAGCAGTACCACCCGCAGCATGCAGCAGGAGCAGCAGCAGCAGCAGCAGGCCCAGCAGGCCCAGCAGGCCCAGCAGGCCCAGCAGCTGAACTCGCTTTGTTTTTACCAGAATCCAGAAGGGACGTCAAGCCCGGGGGCACATGTTTCTGGAGGTCGTTCCGTCCTTCAGTAGCATGGTGTTTCGGTGTGGCGAAGGGTGCGTTTTGGAAGCTTGCAGCACCACCTCCAGCAGCACCACTAGCAGCATGCAGCGGGAGCAGCAGCAGCAGCGGGAGCAGCAGCAGCAGCAGCAGTAGCAGCAGCAGGCCCAGCAGGCCCAGCAGGCCCAGCAAGCCCAGCAGGCCCAGCAAGCCCAGCAGCTGAACTCGCTGTGTTTTTAATAGAATCAGAAGGGACGTCAAGCCCCGGGGGCAGCATGTTTTTGGAGGTCGTTCCGTCCTTCAGTAGCATGGTGTTTCGGTGTGGCGAAGGGTGCGTTTGGAGGCTTGCAGCATCACCTCCAGCAGCACCACCGGCAGCATGCAGCAGGAGCAGCAGCAGCCGCAGTAGCAGCAGCAGGCCCAGCAGCTGCAATCGCTTTGTTTCTACCAGAATCCAGAAGGGACGTCAAGCCCCGGAACAACATGTTTTTGGAGGTCGTTCCGTCCTTCAGTAGCATGGTGTTTCGGTGTGGCGAAGGGTGCGTTTTGGAGGCTTTTAGTACCAGCTCCAGCAGCACCACCAGCAGCAGCAGCAGCAGGAGCAGCAGCAGCAGCAGCAGGGGCAGCAGCAGCAGCAGGCCCAGCAGCTGCAATCACCAGCTCCAGCAGCAGCAGCAGCAGCAGCAGGCCCAGCAGCTGCAATCTCTTTTTTTTTCCAAAGTCCAGAAGGGACGTCAAGCCCCGGGGCAACATGTTTTTGGAGGTCGTTCGGTCCTTCAGTAGCATGGTGTTTCGGTGTGGCGAAGGGTGCGTTTTGGAGGCTTGCAGCACCACCTCCAGCAGTACCACCCGCAGCATGCAGCAGGAGCAGCAGCAGCAGCAGCAGCAGGCCCAGCAGGCCCAGCAGGCCCAGCAGGCCCAGCAGCTGAACTCGCTTTGTTTTTACTAGAATCCAGAAGGGACGTCAAGCCCCGGGGCAGCATGTTTTTGGAGGTCGTTCCGTCCTTCAGTAGCATGTTGTTTCGGTGTGGCGAAGAATGCGTTTTGGAGATTTGCAGCACCATTAGTACCGGACATAATACCTGTGTATTTTATTTCGTTTCTGCGCCTTGCCACGGAACAGCACAGCACCTTGCCACAAAAAGGGGGGATAAATGGGAAGGTTTATTTACTTAATAAAATGAATAATTTCACGAGCTCAAGACCCACACTCTGGTTGAAGTCGTCGAGGAACTGCTCAGGGGGGTGAAGGGGTTTGGTGGGTGGGTTTTCTTGCTATATCAAAATATTTTATCAAATATATTGCAGAAAAATATACATATGAAAAAGGGGAAAACCTAAAAGTGCGAAGCACCGAAGAATATTGATGCCAATTTGGTTTCATTCATTGACCATTCTTCCGGGGTCGGCGGCAGGGGCGGCAGCCCTTAAATATTATTTTTTTTTATCATGTCTTTGGCTCGAAGCTCCTACCTTTACCTGCAACATGTCGCGACGCAAAAGAAGTTGAACGGCGTTCAAAGCTATTCTCAACTTCACCCAAATGCACAGAATCAATTACATGAAAGTTAGTTATATGTGTATTATGCAAATCTATACATCATTTTAATTGATTTTTGTTCGGTTGATTCTTGCTTTGTTGACAATCCTCAAAATCATCCTACCATCACTCGTCTCACATCGTTTCACCGTCCTCGCGGCTGGAGACTTGGACCAGGTTGGAGCGATCGGTGCTTTGCCGTCCGTTCCCAGCGTTGCCCTCGACACGACGCTCTAAGTCCCAGGGGCATCCGAAAGCTCGAAAACTCCACAACTGGCCCACAACTGTTGTGATGCCAAAATCTGGATATGGCTCGTCAGACTACGAATGGACTCACAAAATTTGCCATTTAATATCATTTAATGTGTTGTTGTATGTTTAAATCAATGAATTGTCAGCAAGTTTGAGCCATACCCATGGCACTTGTTTTGATTTTCAAACAATGTGAAGCCCGGCAACTTTCTGGTGGACGCTGCGCCTTGGCATTGGCGTCTGAGCCAGTCCTCAGAGACAGTTGAGATGATCTCATACGAAAACAGATCCACAGTAAAAACAAAGCGATTCAAAGCATGGCAAACCCAAGTGAAACTTATGTAATTTGCTTCGAAAGTCCCAAAAACTAAGTGAAACAGTGACACTGTTTTCAGCTGCAAAGGTGGGAGGTAGTGCTAAGCTGTGGTCCATTGGAAGTGGAGGTAGTCGCCAACCTCAACGGTCAGATCCTGCGGAGGCAGTTGAGTATTCTCAAAACGATTGGTATGATAATATTGATATTGAATGATGTTGACATTGTTTGAGATTGAGATTGAGATTGGTATAGATATCGGTATTGACACTGATATTGATATTGATATTGATATTGATATTGATATATATATATATTTATTATAGAAATAATGTATAGTGTATGCAAGGGTCTTTCAATTTCATTCCTGGCAATTTCATTCCTGGCAGTCATCTTGGCATAGCATGTCGTTTCCTTTTTCCCTGATACACTCCATGCTGAAACCCACGTCGAGCCTGAGGAACGAAGTCGTACTCCACTGAGGGGTAGACCTGACTTGAGAAATTCAAGCGGCAAATGCTTCATGAAGTTTTAAAATTGAGTTTTATGAACAGCAGGACCCAATCGATCCCAATCACCTCAACACCGATCTGCTTCCCAAGCCACTTCCCCTTCCCATCTCTTCCCATCTCTTCCCATCTCTTCCCATCTCTTCCCATCTCTTCCCATCTCTTCCCTTTCCACTCCGTTGAAGCGGCACTTTGTCTTCCCACCTGCACGATGTTTCCGCGGCGGCCACGCACGTTGTAATTCACGATGCGGGTGGAACTGCTCACGTCGTTGGGACGTTTCCGCACGAAGAAGGTGTGGGTCCTGGGTCACCCATGGTCACCCCCACTGGCCGACTGGCCGGAGCCGGAAGGGATGAACCCGCCCTGAATGAGTGTTGGAAGGGATCAATCAGATTCACCAAGCAAAATCATGAGGATCCACAAAGGAAATCCAAAAGACATCTTGGGGTTTAACCGGTTTAACCGGTTTAACCGGTTTAACCCTACCCATTTCGAAACTCCAGTCGAACATCTCTGCTCTTTACGATCTTTATGATGGCAAACGGATGGCAAACAGCAAACTAAGTCCCGCTCCGATCTTCGAAGGTGCGGCCATACTGGTTGGTATTCACCTGGACAAAAACAATATAAAACTATGCTCAGCTGAGTAGCTATACAGGGCTATACACATTGCTCTACACATTAATATCATTAATACACTGTGGCTGAGCTCAACTGAACTGAACTGAGCTGGGCACCTGCAACTGCAAGCGGTGGTCCTCTCCCAGATCCAACCAATCTCCCACAGGATCTTGCGGCAGAACCGGTGGACCTCCCTGACGTCGAGCACAAAACGGATCAGCTTCCAACGATTCCAACGGTTCCACGCGGCACTTTGTTTTGGATCAGCACATTTTCATCATTTTCACATGCCTTGAAGACGGTGCGGCGACGAGTTCCAGGGTTTGGATCGTTCATTGCCTGGCCAAATTTCCAAATCCGATTTGGAAACGGATCACATCTCGCCACTTCCCGGTCCTTGTCCACATGGAAGTAGTCATCTCCCACATCTCTCAACCTCTACAAGCAACAAAGGCATAACAAAGGCATTAGTGCTAGCATATTTTTGAACATGTTTTTATAAACTTCAAAACCAATTGAAGATGTCAAAGCAAATTTACCCGAAGGACATCCAAAGATCGTCATCACAAGTGACTGTAATATGTCAATGTGCAGCATGACATGTCAATGTTGGGGCGATTTTGCATCATAAAAAGGTTCGTGGAATCTCCGCATCTCAATGCGAAAGTATACAACCCTGCGGAAACCCCGAACTTCGAACGTACTTCACATAGACAGTCACAGAAGCATCAGATATCATCAGATGTCATCAGATGTCTATGTTGGTGTTGTTGGTGTGAGAACTCATCCTATCATCGACTCATCCTATGCGCCATCCGCGCCATCCGCGCCATCCTATGCCATCCTATGCCATCGTGCTTCATCCCCGTCTGGGCGTCGGGACAGGGACGTGGCGGGTCCCTCCGTGGTGGCCAGCGCCTTGGATCTGAAGTCGCCACTCGTCATGTTGTAGCGCAAACGCAGCACGCAGCCTGGAATGACGACAATGACGACAGCCCAATTAGGCAATGGTTTAGATAACGGCTTAGATATGTTTAGATAACTGTAATATACTGTAATACACTGTGGATCTTGTGACGAAGCCGTGCCAGCAACACGACCCTCCTCGATGTGATCTGGGATCCTCAAAATGTTGGCAGAGAAAGCAAATCTCTCCATCACTCTCTGATGACCACAGTTGTTCAACGCTCTCTGCAACATTCTGCAACCAAGTGTCTTCCACAGGTAGTAGTTCGGCTTCCCACCCCGTGCATTGCCGTTGTGGTTGTCTCTGGACGAAACCCCTGCAACCTGCAAGAAAGTTTCAAAGGCGTTTGCAATGCGCAAAGGACGTCACGAAGGACGTCAAGAAGGACGTCAAGACACGGCGGATCAGACTTAGCACGGCGCCGTCCCCCAGGCCCCCAGGCTTGGGGAATATGGGAAGGAAATGCATGAAATGAAATGCAGGAAATGCAGTTCAGGACTCAGCTCAGGACACAATCCGGCGCAGGCTCATCGAAGGCTTCTTTTTCCTTGTGAAAAACTCAGGAACATGGAAAGACCATGCAAGGGAGATTTGTTAGGCTAATCCAAGCACCTAAAGCATCCGAAAACTCTCTCAACCCTGTCGACCCTGCCAACCTTGAGCATCACGAACATCTGGATATGCAAAAACTCCACCCAGCCGAATCTTCATGCTTGATAAAGGCAACAGATCCCACAGCAAATCGATCTAATCCCAGATCTACACACCATCTATCACCACCATTGTGAAATCGGTGAAATCGGTTGTCACCAGTTGTCACCACATCCCATTTTGGTGCACCGGTGCACCCACCCTGACTTCGGTCGCCTTCCACTCGCCGCCGCCATCCACGCAGGACTCTGGGCTGTTGTGAGCTGCCTCTGTGCAGTAGCCTGTCGCCATATGCCACGTTGCACCGGTGCAACCAGACGCGTCTGGTGTATCCCTGGTGAAAATCTACCCGGCTTCCCCGTTTACTCTGCAGTTTCCAGTCATTCCTCTAGCATTTTCGCCCTGCCTTTGGCGCGAACATTTTGGGATTCTTGCTGATAATATGCACATCTTCTGGGCCTCAGCACATTCAAGATGCTTTTTTTTTACATAAGAGTTGTTCCTTGTGCCATCACCCATCAAGTTCCACACGACTCATCCGTGATGACGGCTATGTCATGCCTGCCAGACACAAGAGGCAGGCATGACTGCAGCCATGGTTGCTCATCACATCTCGTCACATCTCGTTCACATCTCGTCACCATACACATGTCGGCCATGTCGGCCATCAGATGCAGATCTTCAGCTCCGAGATGCCAAGGCGTTGGATGCCAATAAGGATAGTAGTCTCTTTCCTCTGGACACTCCAGGCCATGTCGGTTGTTGGCCTCAAGCTGCTCAAGCTGGGTATATTTGGTATATTGGCATATATTGGCTATTAAAACTGAAACCGCCCATGTCATGATCCATATCAGAACATCTCAGAATCCGTGTCGCATCATTTCGTGGAACTTCAGCTCAATTTGCCGCTTCGGCACGTTGTTCCCACCTGGATTCTGCCTAGGCAAAGTGATGCCGTTTCTGGTGTTAGGACGCAATTGTTCGAAAGAGTTCCAAGCAGTTGAACCAACAGAATTTCATCTGAAAAAAACGGTTGGGCAAATGACACCTTAAATTCAAGGACAGCGCTGGAAACATCTTCCCTTAGAAAGTCTCATGAAATAAGTATGCCATCAAACGAAGTTGGTGTAAAGGCAAGAGCACAAAGGGTATCCATTCTCCCAAATCATTTTTTTACCTGTTTTTGGGGAATTGTCTGATCAAACGCTGTGCAGAACCCACCTGGTTGCTGTAGCACCGCGGTTGTCGTTGACGTTCTGGTCGGCAGTGTAGAGGCCTTTCTGCCGTTCTCGCCTTCGGCCAGGAACGTGACAGGTGGAACAATCCCATGTGGTGCTTCTCAGCGGAACAATCTCATGGATTTTCGCGTTAATTTTCACATTGATCATCATTGATCCACAGCAGATTCTTGCAAATTCCCAATGTTCCAATGAAACTCAATGGGCATCCGGACGTTTTACAGTCCAAGTAGAACTGTAAGGGTTCGTGCTGCCCCAGCGCAGGCTCGGCAGCATCCAACTCCGTAGGGGGCTCCTACAGCTTTGTCGCTTAGCATCGCTTAGCTTTACACATGGATGTTTTTGTTGGAAAATGGGGAAATACCATGAAAATACCAACAAAAATACCCAGATACCCCAAGCGATTCACCAAAGCGTCCCAGCGGAAAATTCCAAGTCTTGGAATGTTTTTTTGGGGGGCTGCCCTCAAGTCTTGGACTCAAATGTGTCTGGGGAGAAAATGTATCCGAAACAGAAATGCTTGATTGCGGAAATGACCTAGAATGAAACCTTGATCATCGAAATCTCTAGGTTTCATTCTGCATATTCTGCCACATCGTATTTCCATTGCTCTTTGTGGGCCATTTTCCTGGGTTCTTCTCGACATGTCTGATTTTCATCTCCAAATGATCGGATTCTCCTCTTCTCCACCTGCGGTGTTTTCGTTGCCGCGCTTGGTGCCATCGCGCAATCCGGGGTTGTCCTTCTCACACATGTACTGGAGAATCTCGGTCCAGCGTTGTAATGTCTGTAATGTCAGTGCAGTAATGACCCCTGGTCTGGTTCAATTGTGGGGGGGTAATCCATTCTAAATTAGCAAGCTTTTGTAGGTTTGGTGAGATGTGGTATGACAAGTCGACAGAATCCGGTTCAATCCGGTTCACAATTTGGGGCCCCTGCCATTTGGCAAATGATGTTTGGCTGGTCCACACCACAACCATGCTGGACAACCTTGCATAGCCGACAATGTTGAGTCTGAAGCAAACATATCACATATCCATTAAGAACAAATCTTATATCTACAAGTTATGACTTATGACATTGAAGGATATCAAGTGATAACACATGTATGGAAATGTATGGAATATACAGAGACGTATTCAGACATATACATACGGCACATACATGTACATACGTATATTTGCACCGTATATTTGCACCATCTTGAGGCAATCTCCAATATGTCCGTGAGATGGTAAACTGATGTAAACTGCTTACAACTATGCGACAAGTCCCTGACCCACTCAATGTAGAGCTCGGAGCCATGGTAGTAGGTCAAGGTGCCCTGCCACATCCAACATGAATCCACAACATCCAAAACATGCCATGACTTCCATGACTTCCCATGATGGAAGTCTTCCGGCCATCACTCCATCCGTTCATATCGTTCATGATCTCTAATCGTGACCCCAATGGATGGACTGCCAACAGCTCTGCCTTCATGGCTCCCTCTTTGGTTTCGTCGTAGTCCCGGTTTTCGTTCTGGCAGACAGGTTGACCTAAGATGCGGAGGATCGGAGGATGGGCGCACATTTGCGGAGTTGAACGGCAGAGAATAGACTGGTTGCAGATTATTCACAGCTAGCAGGAAATGAATCCGCAAAAGTCACAGTCAAAGTCTTTAAGCACCCGAGGAGTTCTTCTGTCTTGGCTCCGGGCAAGCATCGCCAATCTGGTAGCCACCTGCAAAACATTCAAAAACGCCTTCTGGCCTCATTCCTTGCACCACGAACTGGACACCTGCTGCGTTGTTCTGCGAGTCGAACAGCCGATTCCTTGGATCCCAAATGTAAAGCACTGCAGGATGAGTGTCATTCTCAGTCTTGGTGTCACTTTCAAAATACCGCAGGGCTGCAAAAGTCATAGTACTCGCGATTGCGATGTCAAAGAAATCACTCTAAAACAATGTGTGCAAAGTTTGCACTTAGAGACATGTACCCGTATCCCGAGCAAGTGGTGACATGCCCAGTGATGTTCTGAGAAGTACACAGCTAGCTACTTGACACAACAGTAACAGCAAATGAATCATTTACATTGACATTGTCAACCATTCGTCTAGATGTAAACGCTAGTAACAAACTGTGCTCGGCCTAAGACTTCAGAGTTGTAAATGCCCGGTGAAGGTCCCGTGAAAGTCAAGAACTTCACCCAGCGGTTGCGACAGGTCTGATGCGGTCGAGGGTCTGATTTTGGGCGTTGTTCTGCTGCTCACTAAGCCTGAGACAACAAAGTCTTGAAACTGGTGATTATCTGATTGCCATGCTCGCTCTTTTCCTGGCAAAACGGTGACTAGGTTTGAACATGTTTGAACATGTTTGAAAGTGAGATGTTTCTGCAACGTTCAAAAGGAGCTGGGGCAGACACTTGTTGTTGGAACCTCTTGGATTGTGGAGATAAACATCGCTTCGAACCACAATGAACAGCATGAACACCTCACAGCCAGAATCCGACAGAATCCGACAGAATCCCACAGAATCCGACGGAGTCCGATTTAGATTTGTCAAGGCCAGCTCCGGCGCTGGGGAACGCACGCAGCATAGAGATCTCCACAGTGCCATCGAGCTAAAGCGGCTAAAGCGGCCAGCCCGGAATAACTCGGAGTAACTAAGCAGGCCAGGCGCAAGCACAGCCGCAGGGGTTCTTCGTCTGTTTGAATTGATATTCTCATGATGTTGTTGGTGTGCTCTCCCTGTACAGCATGCCGTGGTTGTGAAGGATTTCAAGAAAAACGCAATGCAATACGAAATTATTGCACGGCATCTTTCGCTATAGACATCTTACCTTCTTAGGAGACACCATCTCCCGGAAGTCTGACTTGCTGAAAACACATCAGATTTGAACCAAAGTGCTTGTGTTGCGGAAGTGAGTCGAACTTTGGGCAGAAAATGTCCGTACTTAGGCAGAACATGAAAGCTTTGCCAATTCGTGATCTTGCATCATGCTCACCATGCTGGAACTCAGGCTGGTTACAGGCAAAATCGTTCTTTTTTGGGCGAATACTTCGGCACAAAGCTCTCACCTTGTGCAGTTTCTGAACCCGACAGGGCAACGGGGCGACACGGGGCGACAGCGCGACCCACAGAGTCTCACAATTCCTCCTGAAAAACGTCAATTGTTTTGCACCAAACTTTGCGATGACCGACTGTGTGAGACGCGAAATGATAATTCATAGATTACATAGTATTGATAATGAGATCATACAAGTAATATTTATATATATTTATAATATATAAATTAATATAAATTAATATAAATGATAAATATTGATAAATATTGATCCATCTTCCAGCGGCATCCTGAGATTTACCGTCTTTTCCAACCCCCTTTCCGGCCTTTCCCCCTTTCCGGCGGCCCTGTCCATCCCTGTCCCTGTCATCCGTCTCTCCTTGGGATGTCGGGTGCGTGGCGATTCCAAATCTTGCTGCATGGTCTCGATGCAAGCGCCCGCGTGCCGCACCACGGCCTGGGCACAGGAAAGGCTTCGGGAAAGTGTCAAAATATCGAACATATAGTTGTATATATAATATATAGTTGTACATATTATATTATATTATATTATATTATATATAGTAATATATAGTAATATATAGTAATATATAGTAATATATAGTTGTATATATTATATTATATTATATTATATTATATTATATTATATTATATTATATTATATTATATATAGTAATATATAGTAATATATAGTAATATATAGTAATATATAGTTGTATATATTATATTATATTATATTATATTTTATTATATTATATTATATTATGTATAATTATATTATATATATTATATTATATTATATGATATTATATTATGTATAATTATATTATATTATATTATATTATGTATAGTTGTATATATTATATTATATTATATTATATTATATTATATTTTATTATATTATATTATATTATATTATATATAGTTGTATATATTATATTATATATAGTTGTATATATTATATTATATTATATGTAGTTGTATATATTATATTATGTATAGTTGTATATAGTTGTATCAGTTGTATCTGAATCTTAAGAATTCGTAAGATATCATATGTCTGTTAAAACTTATCAAGCGAAATCCAAATGACATTTTGATCTGAATCTTACCATATCTTACCATCCCAATGATCATTCTCAAGCGATTTCGTTGCCACGGCACGGCGTAGGAACACCTGGAGGGCTCGTCCAGCGACAGGACCTCCTCCGTGGCACCGCATTGGAAGGTGACCGTCAAACTTCTCGCCGGACCACCGAAACCTGCCACCGGGCCGGGCCGGGCGGCCGGGCTGGATCTGAAAACATACTGACAGCCTGACAGGCCATTGGGATTTCACATGATTTCACTAACATACTGACAATTTTAGGATACAAAGGGATAGAAAGGGATACTGCCGGGATACTATGAGAAGGAGTTTAAGCCTTGAGTTGGATATTACATGGGAAGTGAATGAAAGTATGGGTGAAACATGGTGAAACACTATTGGGCTAACACATGGGAGAAAATAGTGTCAAGCACATCCAGACACTATGAGATACAAATATATACAAATGGGGACGTCGGTGGTGAAAAAAAACGTACCATGGGGACACTGATATCACGAAATAGCTGGAGCCACCAGCAATGGCAATGGCAGGTGGCTCCAGCAGCTCCAGCAGAGCTATCAGCAGCTCCACATTTTGAGGGCCCCGAGGGCCCCACACATCTCGCCATTTTTGAAGATCGCCTCTGTTGGACTCGTAAAACCTGGGCACAACGTGTGGCGCCATCAACGTGGCGCCGTGGCGCGTTTGTTTGGCGAGAGACGCTCCCATTGGCCCAGTCGTGTGTGCGACTGCTTGGCGTCTTGGAAGAAGCACAGCTTGTAGGTGTACCTCCACAGTCTCCACAGCATTCCAATCTCATCCAATCCCATCCAATCTCAACATCTCAACATCTCAACATTCAGTAGTTCTCTCAGTTCTCTCAGCATTCCATTGTGGATTTGTTCAGCAGTTCCTCAGTTCTCAGGTCTCAGTCACTCGGAAGTCTTGTACTCGAGGCATTTGTCTCTTAGGCTGGCGAAGCCGAGTTTGTCCTGGCAGAGTGTCATACTCGCCGTCTGAAACCAGAGAAAAAACGATTTGAAATGACTTGAAATGACTTGTTCGGGCCGGAGACCAACCTGTCAAGAAATGACCCAATCTTGTTTTCTGCGGTCGTCATCATCATCTTATTCTTCATCTTCATCTTTAATTTCATCGTGTATCGCTTGAATATCACATGCGCATACATGCGCATCAAATCGCATCAATCTCTCAATCGCATCTGCAAAGAGGGCGCCTCTGGCAGTTCGTCCAGTTCCTTCTTCAATCGAGACTTGGAATCCTAGTCGACTCAGTCGACTCACTCGACTCTGAGAGTTGACTCAATTGACTCAATTGACTCAATTGACTTGATTCAGCATGATTCGACTGAGTGGCGACTTGCATCATGCTGAACCCAGTGGCACCAGTGGCACCAGTGGCACCAGTGGCAACCGATCAACCCCTCTGGGAATCATCAGATCCATCAAATCCATCAAATCCATCAGATCCAGCTGCGCCTTGTGGCTCTTCACTTGGCTTTCCATCTCTTTCAGTTCCTTCTCCAGTGGATCTTCACCTTGGGGCAGGTGGGGCAGGTGGGGCAGGTGGGGCAGGTGGGGCAGGATGAGATGTGGAATGACATGGCTGAGACATGGCTGGACCGAATGTCATGCCAACAATCTCAACATATCTCAACCTAACCATCCGACGGGACCCGGGAAGAAAGCAGCAGCCTGTTGTCAAACAAGTCCAGAATTTTGGGAGATTTCTGGGGAAAAAACGATTCTGGAAAAAATCCTCCAGAATTTGCATCATAAGGCATCTCTAGCCATGATTTTGGAGGGTTCCCGTTCCATCTCCACATATCTCCACTGAGCCCGCAGCTGGGGTTCTCCGGTTCAGGAGGTGCTGGTGCTGGAGCCGTAGGGCTTTCCACGCCATCGTCCTGGACAAGATGCGACATGAAACCGACATGAGCATGTCACTGGATGTCACTGGATGTCACTGGATGTCACTGGATGTCACTGGATGTCACTGAATGTCACTGGGTCATGTAGCCATGAAACCGTTCAGAAACCGCAATCATGGCATAATCATGGCATATCATGGCTACATGTGGTCTCATGTGGTCTGGCAAATGGACATAGATGTCATAGATCTCAAACAAACTTTCAAGTAAACACATGGTAAATACATGGGAAGCAACGAACGTCTTCAACATGTTTTGTTGTACCTTGGAGAGTTCACGTTGGAAAGACGTTGATAGCATGGAACAGTCGCCCAAGTCTCCTCATCTGCCATGTCTTCCTGGCAAACCAAAAACGCTTCAAGCGGCGCCAAGCTGCATCTCAAGCTGCAAGGGTGTGCCTCCATGGCGGCATCCGCCCCTTCCATCCACCTGCCATGGAAATTCACCAAGCTGCGGAAATGTTTGCTATAAATTCACCAAATTGAAATGCATGGCTGCATGGCCCATGTCACAGCCCAAAGCATGTCGGATTGGCTTGGCGTATTCGGACACCACTTTCTTGGTCGTGGTGGTGGTGGTCCCATCTCCTGGAACAAGGTGAGGGCGGTGAGGGCGGTGAGGGCGGTGAGGGTGAGGAAAACGGACGGTGCCATCCGTGACGTCCTAAAAGCGTGTCCTTTTGACCCGTCGCAGGAAACCGAAACCTGTCCTGCGACTAAGTCTTTCTCCAAAGAAGCCACCTTCTCCTGCGAGAACACAAGAAATGAGCTGCACATTCAAAAAAAGCAACTCCAAATGTCAGACACATGAAAAGATATTAAAGTATTACTACAGTTACTACAGTATGGCACAAATCTGCCAGTCCTCGAGCTCTTTCACTCTTTGTCTGAGCCTGGGCAGTGATCATCACCACATCCTAGCTTGTCCCAGGCTGTGGTCGTCACAGATCCGGGATCCACTGTGATTTTGCCACATTGTGCCACATCACTGGCACCTGGGGAGCTCAGTTTTGCATTCTGCTTGCATTTTCTCTGCATCTGCTTCCTCCTGCGACAAAGACTGGCACACATTGGCACACCTTCAATCCACCAAAATGAATTCTTCATCGACAACTCATTCAAGATATTCAAACATATTCAAACCGGATCATGTCTCATGTTCAATGGATAATCAATGATAATCATCCTAGATATTCATCGACGTTCATCCTGGGAATCTGTTGGCTGTCACTTGGCATGAAAAAACTGAATATTCCTGTGAATCTCCATGGGTCATGGTTTCTCATTGATAGATTATAGATTATAGATTATATAATTGGAACATGCTGGAACCGTATTAGGAACCGCCGAATGTTTCAGAATCCGTATTCCTCTGCAACATCATGGTCACATATGGTCACTGATGACTCTTGCCGATGGCGAAGCATTGAATAAAACATAATAAAATATTATAAACTTAAATAAAATCATTTATGAATCGATGGACGAAAAGGTAAATTCACCCATGGGATTCTTAATTAACTTGATTCAGAACGTCGGAACGTGCTCAGTTTTTCCCTGTGCTCATCCCCGATGGATCATGATGGATCCACGGATCCACATCGATCAGCTTCGATCAGCTTCGATCAGCTTCGTGATTCCAGGCCTTCTTCTGCCTGAGCTCCGTGAGCTTCGTCTCCAAGGCCGGCAGCTCTTGGTCGATCCTGTCGAAAGACGAAGCGAGACAAAACGAGGCGAAACGAGATCCACCGAAACGAAGGGCCGGGTTTGGGGGGAAAGAACTGTTGATCTCGTTGAAGCTGAGGTTGGGGGAATTTGGGGGTGAAGCGGGTAATCAAAGGGGTAATCATTAAAATGTCAGAGAAAGCGTTCATGACCCTTGGCTATCTTGGCTTGAAGCCTTGGAAGATGGGAGAACTCTATTCGGTTCGAAGTTGCTGAAGTTTTCGGTGTGAGGAAACTGATTCACTCTGAAAGTTTTGTCATGAATTCCAAAGTGTATTGCAGAGGTTTGAATTCGGCACAGGTCTCCTGTGAATCTCAGCTTCTTTCTCCTGCTTCTGTTGCTTCGCCTTCGACACAAAAAAAACATCCGCGATCCAAAGTGCCATCTGAAACAACCATGATCAATCTGTGATTCTGTGATGGCAAGGTTGAAACCAAGCTCCGGCTGCTCAACATGGTCTGCTCGACATGGTCGATTTCAGGTGCAGTTGAACTGTTTTTTCTTGTGTTTGACCATTTTCGACGTTTTTGACGTTGCCAGTGTTGCCTGGGAAATTGTCTCGGTCTTCACCTGAAGACCAGCACCTCGATGCAAACTGCGCAAAAGTGTTCTCCTCAGTCCCCTTTGACTCTACGAAAAATTATCCCATGAAAAGCCAATGAAAAGCCAATGAAAAGCCAATGAAAAGCCAATGAAAAGCCAATGAAAAGCCAAAAAGGTCCAGGCAAAAATGACGACTTGAAAGATCTTGAATGAGATCCATGCGCAAATCCTTCAACTTTGCTTCTCTTTCAGCGCGAGATCTTTCGCCTTCCACTGGCTGAAACGGCCATCAAAACAAGTGGAAACATACTCTCAGTACATCTCAGTAGCAAGTTTTGATAAGTCTTAGGCAAGTTTTGTTCAGTCTGGGCTCAAATCCCTTCCAGTGGTCAGACTGATTTCAGCAGAGCGTTTGAGGGTTGGTTGCATCCGTTCGTTCATGATACATGTTTGGTGAGCTCTCTTCGCTCCATTTGCTGGATACTCAGATGTGGAAGTTTGGATGGTGCACAGTACCATGCCAGCGATCTTGTCATTGCTTGGGAGACTGCCCTGTTTGTCTTTGTTCAAACTTCCTCTGCGCATTGCTTTGGAAAACATCTTGGCGGAATGCCAGTGAGCTCCATGTCCAAAAGCTCAGGCAAAAAAAAAATGGTGGCTACATTTCTAGCGTTGTCAATCCAGAATGCTGTGCGGATTGTTCAAGCACTTGCAAGACAACGGCGTCGCGCAACAACAGGCTGGCAAGTTGCAAGACTTGATGGGTGGTAGGCAACGATCCAGCACTGCGTGGATGATAGCTCCCTTCATCGTGGGCAGAAGTGGTTGGCAATTTGATGCAATTTGCGATATTTCGGCTGGTTATGCGAGCTTTTGGACTTGAGAATGGCTGGCTTCGCGCCGCATTGTTTCTGGTTGGCATGCAGCTTCGACGGCGGACATGGAAAATGAATGAAAATGTCTTATGCGCCTGCTGGACATGCTTGGCACAGCACAGCTTGCAGTTTTCTTGCACCTGCCAAAGCGGTAGGCCCAATGGCTTGAGCCTCGAGGTGGCCCCGGCAGCCTTTTCCTCCTCCTGTTTTATCTTGTAATTTCTTTGGGCGCAAGTGCCCAAATTCAAGTTGTGTACAGGCTGACGAACAGCCTATAGCCGGATGTTAATGCTTTTCCGGTAGCTGCATGGAAGTCGGCAGAAGGTGAACTCCATCTGTCCTCTTTGAGGTGCATCTGCTGTTGATACCGCATTCCTGGATGCATCGCAGAATGCGATTCTTCGTTTTGGGCCGACAACCGTTTGCCCCATGATTCTTAGCCCGTGCGGCTCTGACGAAAGTCCGAGCCCATGGAAGTAGGGAGAACCGATCCTCTCTGCAGAGCGCAATAATAGGCAAGTTTTGTTCAACATATGTCACATTGTGTCACATTGTGTCACATTGTGTCACCATGTTTCGCCCTGTTTTGCCTTCTTCCTTGCAGGTGTTGCTGCACTTTGCGGCTGTGACCTGATGGTCCTGGTGGGTCGAGTGAAATATGTGAAATGTGAGCACAAAATAGATCAAAATAGCACACAAAAGGCAGTCGATGCACAAAGGCAGTCGATGCACAAAGGCAGTCGATAGCAGTCGGGCGCTCTCATTCGTGATCGTAAGTGACGTAAGTGACGTCCTCATCAGAACCGTCGCAGCAGTCGCAAATTCCATCACCAACTCGGGAGGCGTAGACCTCCGAAGTTGAAAAAGTGAGAGGTTTGAATGTGAAACTTGAGCAGGAAAAATCAACTGAGATGTTTCTTCACATTCTCCATCTGAGTTGATAATGGCTGTGCAATGCTGTGTATAGTCTGATAGTTGCACAATGATACCAGACATGCAGCATAGCAATATGTAGCACACTGTACAGATCACATAGCACAGCAAATCAGTATGTAACATGTGAATACATGTGAAATAGATTCAAAGAGTCCATAGGATTAAAATCCATGAATGAAAATAGATATGAAAAACATTGAAAAACAATAAATGAAACTTATGGAAACCAATGGATAATAGATGGACAATAGATGGCATCTGTTGTACGTCTCACGTTGTTTCGCATCTGAGGCGGGCACCAATCGAGGTGTGCTTCCCACATTGGCACAGTGGAACAACGTGCCCTAGCGCTTCGTCACAAGGCACATGTCTCTGCAACCGTCGACATCTGATGACATCGACATTTCGGAGACGAGACAACTGGTCCCATTGGTCCCCACCTCTTGGCCGGAACATGCTCCGGTGCCTGCCACATCTCCACAGGCAAAACATGGCAAAACATGGCAAAACATGCCATCACAGGATACCATCAAAATATATCAAAATACATCATGTCGGTGTCGGTTGGATCCTTTGAATTTGCTGCGAAAAGATAGCTCGAAAGAGCAAAAAGTCACGGAGTCTTCATTTGAAGCAGTTTTTTTCCGCCGGTTTCTTTCTTCATTTTGTTCCCAGCTGAAAAAAAAGAAAGCAAAGGCCCTTCCAAAAAGCCCAACTGCAGACCACATCGCTTCGCCATCAGTGCCTGGTTCGTCCGAGCCATCCTCGCAGTCGCAATAGTTGTCATTGATGGCGGAAGCTGCTACCTGCCGATCCAAGATGCAAACTGATCAGTTCAAACCACTGCAAACCTGAAAATCTGCTCAAAACTCAACAACTCAAACTGCAAAATCTTCACCTCAACATATTTAAGCCCTTTAAGAAGCACCTCCTGGCCGTTGCAACGCAAACCTTGAGCGTATTGGCCCTGCATCTCCGGGGCGACACCTGACTTCATCAACTCACATGGTTTGGCCGTTTGGCATGACGAGATATGACGAGTGGGTTGGGGGTGGTGACATGTGGTGACCTTGGTGCTTGGTGCTTAGTGCTTTCTGTGATGAAAAACAGCGTCGAAGTTTCAGGTGGGACTGAAGAAAACCACCTCGAGGTGTTGCTTCAAAAAGAAATGGGTCAATCAAAGACTGAAACGAGGCAGCTGAATCAGAAAATGAATAAATACTAGCATGCACAAGGAAAAATTGCTATCTTTTTGGAGGGGTATCAACTTGATTGACTGGTTTTAGAGACCCAAACACAAATAACACTAACATATTTAACTTTGAGTGGATAAGCATAAAGATCATAAAGTTGTAACGGGAAAAACGGGCAGAATCTGGGAATGCCCCCATGTTTTAGCCACTCAACCTGAGCCGTTTCCATCCGTTTCCCATCTTCCCATTTGCCTCGGATCATCGCAGCAGGAGAGCCTGGCGAACATATCCAAGACGATGAAAAATGTTTTGAAATGTGATGTTGTTTCATGTTGTTTCATATTGTTTCAATAGTTTTCCTATGTTTTCCTGGCACATGGAATGTTTCACTGGACATGTGAAACTGTGAAGCCATTGCCTAAATGAATACAATGACGTGATAACTGAAAATAGATCGCAAAGCTTCACTTGAAAGTCTACTCCAGAATGCCGCACGGCATCGCATGGCACATCTTGGCTTCCGGCCAACCAGTGCTCCAAGCAGCGTCCATCGCATCTTGCTCCGGAGCCCGGGACCGCAGTCCGTGGGGCCGGTTCCTACCGGTTCCTACCAGTTCCTACCAGTTCCTACCAGTTCCTACCAGTTCCTACTGCCCTACTTGAGATCAAATGGATCACGAAATGGATCACGAAATGGATCCGTGTGCAGGGCACTTCATGACAACTTGGCAACGGCAGCATGTCCTTTGTGTCCAAGAGATGGCAGATGGCAAGAGATGGCATTTGAGTCCCAAATGTTTTCGGCGCTGTCGTGTTTCAAGCGACGAAATGAAGCGATGAAGCGATGAACGCTAACAGGTGCTAAACTTAAGGCACTAAGCAGCGAAGCCATGTCAAAGCACGGTGTCGCACAGGCACCGTGGCGCACCGTGGTCACGGAGCTTCAAACTTCAGGTGTAAACGATCACTTCAGGCACTTAGATCTGGCACAGCGACAAAGCGGATCAAAGCGAGATGGGGGTGGTGAAAGCGACATGTACATTTCGGTGGTGAAAGCAACAAGTTTTTTTCACATCCGCAGAGTTTCCACTTCTCCAACATTCTTTAGCATTCCCTAGCATTCCATCTGTTCAGTTTGAACGTGGGCCAAACTTCCGAACAGCTGATGCCGCTCTATGAAGGCTGGGATCATGTCATGTCAGCATGTGCCGTTGCCAGTTTCGGCACCTCGCGGCTCATGAGGGTCGAAAGGGTAATGGTCCCTTGCCTTCGACAAAACGACGTTTCCGACTTCCCAAAAGATCAGCACAGCTTCGATTTGGCTCTCAAGGTTGGAGGTTTGGTTTTGGACCCTCAAAAATCGGGAATCTGAAGACTTCCCCATGAAGGTTTCAAGGCTCTCAGGACCCAACAGGATGCCCCTGTCTGTCACGTAGACGACACCATCACTCTCAGCCTCGAAAGCGAAATCCCAGCAATAAGTTTCACATAGTTTCACCATGTTTCACCATGGTTCACCATGTTTCACCATGTTTCACCTGAGAACATGAGAACACCAGAGACTCTGCTCAAGGCTCCTGACCACTTTCATGAGAAGATACACCTGCGGAGTTCAGAGGGAAAAGTCGAAGTGAAGTGGTCAGAGTAGTCGAAGTGAAGTCAAATCCAAACGGAGGCGTGGCAAACTCCACAACTATCCACACATCAAAAACTGGTCCAGAACAAGTCCAGGTGAACATAGGTGAATCTGGACCACCAAACATCAATCATCAGCGGCACACTGAGTTTAACTTGCCAGTCATGACTAGCCATGAGTTCATTCAGAACTGGACAGGGCTTGACCGGGCTTGACCAGGGACGTTCAGTGACACCATGTGACACCATGTGACACCAGGCCCCCAGACATCCTTCACGGTGCAGTCCGGTGACACCCGCACCGGGCTTCCCTCCACCAGAGGCTCGCCGCCTGTGCGGAACCATTGCAGACACGAACATCGGACAGTGATGGACAGTGCATCAATCAATTCATATCAATTCAATGCATCAATGAATAAACAAATATGAAAAGAACTTTAAAAAACTTCAAAGAACACGGAAACATATGAAATCATCATAAAATCAGGAAGAAAATAGTGTGGTTTTCCATTATTCACGTCCTGAAATCTTGCATCGTACGTACTGCAGAACTCTTGTGAAGTGACAGGCTACACAAAGTGGCCAAAGATCTACAGGAAGTTCAACCCAGCTGCGCGGTGTCAGGTTTGGTGATACCAAGGATTACCAAGCACAACCAGTCTTCCACCAGTCTTCCACCAGTCTTCCTGCTAAGTTCCGCACCATCTGGTGGGGCTTGAAATTCGGGATTCATCAAATCCTGGCTGCGCTAGCCAGTTTTTCATCAATGTGGTGTTTTTCTGGACAGTTCCTCAATGTTAGTTTGATCAATCCAACCCTCACATATCACACACTTTCAAAAAAGGATTCAACTTCAACCCAGATATTGAGATAACCCACCTTCAACTCATTTGGATTGGTTCCAAAATGGGGCATACATCTGATATCCCCTTTTTATGGTCATTTGACAGAAGATATTATGATAAACCATTGTATAAACCATTGTAAAAGTTGCATACCCACATCATTGTTGGCTAAACCCTATATGGATTTATATGGTATCATAGTTGTTGGTGTTCAATATCATGATATTCTCATTGTACCTTAGAATCCCCACGTCGTGCGAAACGTCATGGCGAATTCGGGACACACGCCAAGGGGCGATTTCGCGGTCGGGGGTCGCTGCATGGGGATCCAACTTCTTCAGCAAAAGCCTGGGTGACACTCAGTGCCATCAAGTGAATGGTCGGAATGAAATGACATTTCTTGACATTTCTTGACATTTCTTGACATTTCTTGACATTCTTCTCTATTCCGTCTATTCCGTCTATTCCCGAGAGAAATCCTGGGTCTTCCGGGTGAAGATGGTTGACGCACCTTCTGACAAGCGCTTTTACAACGTATCAAATATTCGAAACCGCTTGCAGTTTGATAAGTTTGAACGTCAATCGTCTCTCCTGGTGTCCACATTGGCTCCACTTGGGCTCCACTTTGGCTCCCGGCTCGACTTGTCTTCGGGTCATCGTCCCCTCCAGAAGGCCCTGGTTGCTGGTGTCCCAGTCCAGTGGCCGGACCTGATGAATTCATGTTGTTTCGACACGTGAGGAAAGAGATGTGAATCTATTCAGATGATATAACTAATATAATATATATATATATTACTTATATATATAACTATAAGATACTATAAGTACGTTTTTCCAAACAAGTCTGTTGTGAGTTTTGGACGTATGGAACTGGAAAACCAGTGAAAACTATGCTGGGCAGGTTCAGTTGTGCATTCAAAGATTGCTGAGGCTCGGACAATCGGAAAGAAATCGTGGTCGCTATTTGACACCCTGAAATTCGCAATCGACTCAGAATCTACCGGCACTGGGAACGACCTTGTTTGAACCAGAAATTCTTTGCATTGGATGGTGCTGTACTTGGCCGCTTGGCCGCTGACACATGGAGAAGGTGCCGAAGGGTAACAATCTGTGGCAAGCCTAAGCCACGCAGAATGCGGTATGCAGAAAGTCTGAAGAACTTGGACGAGTTGGACGAGTTGGACGAGTTGGACGAGTCACAAAACAAATTTCAAATATTTTCAAATGAAAGAATAGTTTGCATTAGTTTGCACTGTTTGCACTGTTTGCACTTGTCCCTCGGCGATATTCGGCGATATTCGGCAATCAGGTCTGATCATGCGACGTTGCCATGCATGAAATGTTGCCAAAATGTGAATGCGTTCTGAGCATGGCACATTCACTGAGATCTACCACATGCATGACTTTCATCACGGGCTCAATGGCTTTGTCCTGCGCAAGGAATGGTATCTCCGGGGATTCAGAAGGCTTACAAACTGCATAGCTGGATGAAGACTCATAGCTTTAGCTATGCCTGGCTCTTAGATGAACTATGATGAACATGATGAACTTCTATAAGCATTATAATAGCTACCTTGAACTTGAATATTTGTTTGGATTTGTTTGGATTTGTCATATTTTGAATATGTTGGCTATGCCAAGCTTAGCTATGCCATTATGCTTAGCTGCTTGGCTCGGAGCGTCGGAGCGTCGGAGCGGGGTCCGTGAAGGTGATGGCCGGGATGCCCCCGAGATTTCGCGTCTCAGCGTGGTGTTGAACATGTTGAACTGTGAAAATTGTGAAAATTGTGAAATAGATCGGAAAATATCGGAAACAACAAATGAGTTGAATAAGATCTGAAATTGTGAATAAGCAGAACATTAACTAACGAGATCAACAAATCGTTCATTCTCGCAGAGCTTTCAGTCCCAGATTTGCTGAGGAACACTTGAAATGTGCCAAAATGACTTGAAAGTCTGTTCCAAATTCGACACTGAACCGTGAACTTTGTTAATTTTTTTTGGCCCTAGAGTTCGATTCGCTCCATCTTAGGGAGCCACGGCCAAGTTGGCATCAAAGAAAGGCAAGGAAACCTCACAGTTGCCAAGGGCCACACCCGAAACATATCTAATCACAATATCTGAACCACTCGAGATGTTCATGCTGGTGTACAGCAGGCAGTCTCATCAAAGCTGCAGCTTGAGATTGATGCCATGATTGGGATTGCTCTTCCCAGTTAGGATTGACCTGACCTTCTTGAGCTACATCGAGCTACAGAAGTCTATAAGATCTCTAGGTAATCAGCGGCAGTCGGCAGCCCTGCCTTGTTCGCCACGAAGATGGCGGCCTCGATTTGTCCGTCGGTATGGAATCTTTATGCCAGCCATCAGCTTGGAAGACACATGAAGACACCAAGGCAAAGGTCATCTAAGGATTAATCAAAATCAATCAAAGTCTACAAACTTCAATGTTTCACTGCTGTTTTGACGAAGAGTTCACCAAGGTTTTTTCCCAGAATAAATATCATAAATCCACACGTCCTTTAAATCTTGTCAAAGTATTCAAAGTTGAGCTCGGGATTCCGAGCCAAGGCCGAACTACAGAGAGGCAACACAGAGTTGGGCAACGCCAAGACCTGGTCGCAGGTCGCAGGGCAAAATGGATGGCAAATGGAAGATGACTCTGAGATGACCTTCAGATTGGGTTCCCAATTTAGTTTCTCTTCCAGAATCGGAAACAAAATATCCTGGATAAACTGGGACATAATCTTCTGGGATGGAAAACTAATGAAGGAAGCGATTGCTACCGGGCGGCTACCGGCATTTCATTCCAGTTTCAGCATTCGGAGCCTCAAAGACGGTGATGGCCATGGCAAAGGCGCGCGTCACCGCGGCGCAAAAGGCCGAAGCGCCCACGATGGCACAGCCTCGGCGGTTCACCAGTTGCGTTGTGGAAATCTAGAGAAGTTGACCACCGAATTCTGATGAAACATGGATAAACCTGGGGTGTGTCAACAATCATCAGCAGAAACTTGGACATAATCTTGTGCTGCGATCTTTCGAGAATTGCTGGGCTTCAAAACGCGCAAAGAAAGCTCCTTTTTGATCTTCTGTTGGCGGCTGGCCTTAGGAAGCAGTGGCAGAAATGGATGTGGTGGCAGAAAATCTACATGAACCAATCGCAGCCAATCTGATTGAAAATAACCAAATCTTCAGATTGATCTTCCTCCCACTTCAACTTTTCAAGTGCCTTGTTCAACAAGGTCAGCATCTAAGGTCCTTGCCATCCTTGGTGAGGATCATTGATACAAACCACTCAGGCCTTGGTACCCGCTGCTCCCGTCACTGCGTCATCCCCGGTCATCCCCGGTGACGAGGAATGGCCGTGGTACCACTCAGCTGGCCCCTGGGTTTCCCCTCAGCTGCGGGCAAAAGGACATGGCCAAAGACGCGGCCCAGCAATCCTCCGATGATCATGGTGGGAGCCACCACCTCAACGCTTCAACAACGCTTCAACAGGCTTAGGACCGGTTAGGATCGGTTAGGACCGGTTAGGATTGTCACAGAGGTCTTCCAAGAAGTTGCCAGAGCTTGCTGTGAGCTTGCTGTAAGCTTGCTACTCCTGCAGGGATAGCTGATGACAGCGCCTCAGGTGTACGGATACGACGGATACGATGGATACGACTCCCCATCGCCGTCCGCCGTGTACGCCGTGTACGCCACCGTGCTTTGAGACACGCGCAAGGATCGTCATTGTCCACTTCATCAGAAAACCTCCCGAGTCGAGTTCCAACAAATTCCAACAAGTTCCAAGAAGTTCCACCAAGTTCCACCCATGCCAACAAGTTCAAGTTCAACCAACAGTTTCGTCAACGATCCAAATTTCTGAACTGTCCAAACCCGAATTGCCACATTTTGTCACGCCAAGATGCACAGGGTCATCGTTCCGGCCACTCCGGCCCAGGGAAGAACCTCAAACTCGACATGCCAACGTCAAAAATTTCAGGAAATTTGGACGTTACAGACATTCTGACTTCGCAGTCTAATGTTTTGTGACACTTGTGAATCATAATCCGAAATGTTGGAATATCTTGGAAAATTTTTGAACGTGGCATGAAAAGTTGCGGCATGAAGTCGATTCTGGCATGTCGACATCCTCACCCGCTGATTTGCACTGATTTGCGTGTCAGAGATGCACAAGATACAACATGACTCTTTCTAGGTAGAAAGTTGTTTCCTTGAATGGGACACCAATTTCTGTTCTTTTTAAGCATCTGTCTTCAACACGGTTTGCAAGTGTTTTTCTTCATTCATCTGGTTACATCATTGTTCTTGATATATTGTATATATATATATAAATCCAATGCTGCAATATATATATATATAAATCCAATGCTGTTTCAACAAAACTCTCCGGCATCATTTTCCAGATGCATTTACCCGTGTCGTTCTGTTCTTGCTTTCAGGAAGGGAAAGAAACTAGTTGCCACCTGAGATCTCTCTATAGAATTTTCGCGATCATATTGTATGAGATATAGAAGGGCATGGCTCAAATTGCCATCGCCAAAAATGGAAGACGGGGATCGTTACGTTCTACACCAAAAATCTCTTCAAAATAACTGATATGTGATGAATATGAAAAGATTCAGGCAGCTCTGTTGTATCAACGTTGCGCTGATGCTGTGCGCGCTCACTCTTTTGTACTGTTGGCAAACAGTCTCAGGCTCAAGGCCTGTTGATCCATAATGTTGACAGTGACATCCAGCAGCTGTTGAACTGTACACGAATTGTGCGTTGGACAATGTTGTTAATTACTTAACACGGCCCCTCAATTTCTTGGAGCTTCCAACACATTGCACAAAACAAACATTGTTGAAACGCAATCACATTATGTTGATACTATTTGATTAGGTGTTGATCTCTGTACAGGGCTGACGGCTTGTAGTTTTACATCTTTTGCCCAGCCGCAGATGTTGATCAAACACTCATCTAATTTTGTGCATTCCCGGCTCTCACGTTTGAACCTCTTGTTGCGCAGGGATCTGCTGAAGATCCAAAGACTGTTGGTTGAGGTGCCAGTCTCACCTGTTGGATGACTTCTCATCCTTCCATCTGTTGATCATCATCGGTTGTTGCGCAATTCTCACGCAGCAACTGTTGGATCTCATCCTTGGGCATGGTGAGTGGCAAATTGTTGAGGTGCCACACATTGATCTCTTTGAAATGGTTGTTGATCATCTCTTCTGTCCACTGTTGCTCGACCCATGTTGCCAGGTGGCTGTTGCCTCTGATCCTCTCAATTGTTTTGGCTCCTCGGAACAGGATGTTGCCTGTGTTGATGCCGCTGGTGATGCTGGTGCTGTGCATCTGTTGCAGCATCTCCATCACAGCATCCCTGGTGGATGTTGTGAAATGATGGAGCATCTGTGCTCCACCATACTCCAAGCATTGGAGTACGAGCCTCTTCTCCTGTTGTGTTGATTCCACGTTCATGTTGGACACTTGGACCGGGATGTTGTAGGCCCACATCCAGTCCTTGTTCCGCTGGAAATAGTTGCAGATCTGTTGAAGCATGGTGTTGCCTCCATCTGCATTGATTTCCCAGATCTGTTGGGATGCCAGCTCAAACGTTGTGAAACGAAGGTTGCATCCACTCTCGATCTGTTGCTGTGGATACATGTAGCCCCTGTTGAACATGTTGATCACCCGGTTGCCTGTTCGAAGACGATGTTGTTGAACATCCTCAACCCAGGTAATCATGAGCCACTTTGTTGGGAGCGCCAGTTGTGGCGAAGGCGCTAAGATCAACTTGTCGAAGTTGGGCATACGTTGGCTGCCCGAAAGTGCTGGGATCACCGTGTTGGTTGACTCCCCAGCCGTCTCTGTTGGTTTGATGGAGTTGTACTCCTCGATGGTCATCACAATCCACCATCGTGGAGTGTTGTTGTCCACACTTGTTGCGTGGAGATCATCTGGGTGAAGGTGTTGAGGGTTGGCCACGTCGCTGTTGAGGATCTCAACGGCGTTGAGGCCCAAATCCTTCAACGTGACCGGCAGCTTCATCGGGAGTGTTGGACTCCTCACACCTGCCATGTTGACCAGAGACATCGTGTTGATACTCCGGTTGTGATCCTTCACTGTGGATCTTCCAGCGGTTGGAAAACGGCTGCACACGAAGCGGCGTAATCACGTGTTGTCAACAAAATGTTGACATCCTGCAAAAAACGACAAAACAAATTCATGTTGCAATCCGACATGTTGTCTAAGACAGTCATGTTCCAGAAAGAAAATCACAGAGTTGAATCTCCATGTTGGCCACCATGTTGAAACTTCCCAGTAAATGAATATGTTGATATACTCCATGTTGAAGTAGATAACCTAGATGTAGAACATGTTGTCAACCTTTGTTGACACCATGGCTCAAAAAAGAAATGTATGTTTGTGTGTGTATGCCACGCACGATGTTCGCACGTTGTACACGCGTCCGCACGTTAACACGCTAGCTGCAGTGAAACTGTTGTTGTTGTTGGTTGTTGCTGTCTGTTCAGTGATGCTGGGTGCTGATGCCAACATCACTGATGTGACGCAAAAGCGTCTCTGTTGCAAGAGCTCCGATGTCCATTGGAGCTGGGCCTCCTCCTAAATTGCTGCTGACTGCTGAAGACGACTATTGTTGGAGTCTTGAGAACGCTGTAGTGGTCCTATAGTACTCCATGATTGTTGTCCTCACCTCAGCATATGTTGGTGTTGCACTGGCATTAAGGTATAAGTGTTGTTGGAGTGGTCCTGTTGTCTCATTCATGAGAATTGCTATCTTCACTTGGTCTGGTAGTTGGGCGTTGTTGTCATGCTCGTAGCGTGCAGCTCAAATTCCCATGTTGAGAAGGACTCCTCCAAGTTGTTGGTGTCGAACTTGGGTTTGAGTAGCTTTGTGAGGTAGCCTATGCTTCTTTTTCCAACAGGTGTTGCAAACTGTTGCACAGTTGCCTGTAGACTTCTAAGCCCATTGCGTCTTGGTATTGTCTGCATAGTGTTGCTGCTGGGCCGCTGGTGATGTTAATGAGTATGTATTTGAGGTTGTTACACAGTTGTGTGCTGCACCAAGCAGCTCTGCATCTGTGAGCACTGTTGTTGCTCTTTCTGCTCTTGAAAGCAGCTGTGGAAAGATGCTGTCCTGTAGGCCCATGTATGCTGAGAACTTGTACTTCCACTCTTCGAATGTTGCATAGTTGCCATCATATGTTGGAGGTTTCAACTTCAGCCTGTGTGTTGATGCTAGGGCTTCTGCTTGTGTTTCTCCTGCTGTTGGCGATCCTATCTCATATGCCGTTGCCATCCTTGTTGTAGAGAGTCCCCCACACTGTATAGTTGGGATCAAGCCCTCTTGCTGCGCATCTTGTTGTTGAGTTTGTTTCTTTTTACCTTGTCGTTGCAGGGGTGGTGTGTTGGGCTGCTACCCTTTGTTGCTCCAGCTGTTGTTGAGAGTCCCCCAGTGTTCTGGGATCAAGCCCTCTGCGTGTTGGAGCTCACCTGGATGCTTCCAGGATCACTGCTCCGCTACCATGAAAAGATTCAGGCAGCTCTGTTGTATCAATGTTGCAGCTGATGCTGTGCGCGCTCACTCTTTTGTACTGTTGGCAAACAGTCTCAGGCTCAAGGCCTGTTGATCCATAATGTTGACAGTGACATCCAGCAGCTGTTGAACTGTACACGAATTGTGTGTTGGACAATGTTGTTACTTAACAGAATATATATATATGATATAAGTTATAAGTGCCAATATCTGCAGTTTTGTCTCTGGATCTTTTAAAGTTTGACACATGCGCTGTTTCTGCTTTTGCGCACCCAGGTGTCGTTCTCGAGCAGCGTCTTGTCGAAGATCGTGGAGATCATCAGCGGCTGCGGCTTGCCGCCCAGCAGAGGCAGCGCGGACGCCAGGACCGTGTTCACCGTGACCACCTCAGCGCCGTCACACGGCCTTGAAACAAAACAAGGGAAAAAACGAGGGAAAAGACGAGGGTCACAAGATGTACCAAGATGTACCGAGAAGATGACAGATGGTCAAGAGGGTCAAGACTTGTCAGGAGATGTCAAAGGTTGAGAGGTTGCACAGATTTCGTTCAAAATGCATCAACATCATTCAACATCTGCTCATAATTTGCTGATCAATTTGATCTGATTTGCAAATCATTGACTTCTCAGAAATGCCGCGGCACTGCTGCAACCAAGAACAAATCGCGCCACTTTCCTCCCAACCTTAGCTCAGCAGCTTCAGCAGGTTCAGAGCTTTGCTAATCTGTAAATGTGTCAGAAAACGTGTCAGAACACATCATGCATTGGGTCTGGTTGGACTATCATGGAGTATCACAGTGGATCATGCTCAAAACACTTTCATAACACTTCCATTGACGTCCGAGATCTGAATGTGTCAAAAACGCGTTCCAACGTGGTTTGCCACAGCCGTGTGCCACAGCCGTGTGCCACAGCCGTCTGCCAAAGCCGTGCCAGGCAGTGCCAAGGGACAGTCGAACGAAACATCGCCAGAGACAGGCGCAACAACCTCGAGCCGGATCCTCGGCACCGCGAGTTGTCACGAGCGAGTTGGAAGACAAGTGGAAGACAAGTTGTCATATCTTCGGACTGTCTGAAGACGAAGTGACGACGAAGTGACGACGAAGTGACGACGAAGTGACGAAGTCACGAAGTTGGAAAATGATGGATGTGAAAATGTGAAAATGTGAAAATGTGAAAATGTGAAAATGTGAAAACGAGTTGTCACATTTGCAGGTCGTCTCATGTCGTCTCTGCGTCGGGTCATCGCACGGCTTCTCCCAACAGCGGCTCTTGGTTTCCTGCGGCCTCCAAGTGACAGCAGGTGGACTGAGGCAAAAAACGCAGGGGTGACTCTCAAATGATCCAAAACACCCACTGTGACATTGTGTTTCTTTAAGGATATGGTCACAAAGTCACTACATTCTGCAGGAATCACTGATTCAGAATCGAACAAAACCATAAATTGCTGCAGGCTCCTTTCAGAACGCCAAAAAGGATGGTTCTGGGCCACTTCAACATGTCTATCTCTGAAAAAGAAGTTAACACGAATTAGATGGAACAATTCAGAAGTGTCACAACTATTCAGAAGCGTCACAACTTTCATTTGGCTCACAACTTTGGTCACTTTCCTTTGGATCCTTTGGATCCTTTGGAACTGGAATTCCGACCATGCCGGAAGTGACCATGTGGATATCGATATACAGTATGCATCAGTATATCGATCAGTATATCCATGTCATTCCATGTCATTCCATGTCAATTGCCAGATGAATCCATATAAATGATCCATATCTTATTAGACATTATTATTGATATGATATATATATATAATATAATATTTAATATATATATATATATATATATTGATATATATATATATATTGATATATATATATATATACATCAATTAGCGGAGGTGCGCTGTTTGCTAGTTGAAAACAAGGTATCGGCTCTGTGCTAGGCCGAAGGAAGTACTACCCCCCTTCGTGCTTAGCTAGGGACCTTTTCCTTAGTGGGATTTCGCGCGGCTTCCCACCGGCGGCATTGCAGCTGCCTTTGCAACGTGCGCTGACTCACTGGTGTCCCGGCACCAGTCTAAACAAAACCCTGGGTGCGTTGGAGATCCTCGCGTAGCCTGTGCTCTCCCGGGGTTCCCGGTGATCACCTGCGACAAGTTCGGCTAGAGTGGTTTATGGTTGGGGGCTCCTTCCTCTCATTGGTGCTTGTGCTCTTTTTGGTCTTCCAGGTGGACACTTCTGCCAAGGGCCTTTTGATCCTCGTGAACTACCAGTACGGCGACTGCCACAGTTCGCAGACACCTCCGACGCAAGAGGGCTGCTGCACGCAGAGCTTGGCATCTCCATCGACGAGGTATCATCAAGCTATCCAAGGAGAGACTTTCGAGCATTTTTGCAATTCTCCAGGTACATCACTCACGAGATCTGGTTTTCCTTCGCAGGCTGGTCACAGCAATGTCGGGCGATACCAAGACTCCGTGGCGATGCAGATTCTGCAAACAGCTGCGCAAACAGAGCGCACAGTATTGCCAGACCTGTCATCAACCCTGGCAGAATGTGATCGACTCGTCCTATGTGCATGGGACAAAGCAAACCACACAGGGACAAGGTCAACCACAATGCAGCCCCATGGCAATCTCAGCCAGATTGGTCTCAATGGCAACAGTCCCAGGGCAACCGAGGACGGACGCCATCACCAAGGCAACGTTCCAAGAGTGCCAAAGGCAACAAGACCCCCAAGAACCAGGGGAATCAGGGTCAACCAATGCAGCAGCCGGTGTTGCCTATGATGCCGCCTGCACCAACCATGATGGGTCCAAATATGCAGATGTACCCACAGATGGCATATCCATTTCCGCAGATGAACATGACAGGACATCTACCACCATTGCCACCTCCAGATACTCCTTGGCAAATGAGTATGCCTGCAGGGGCCAAGATGCCTGCACCAGTTTTGCCAACACCAGCACCGGCACCGACAACGATGTATGTGCCAACTATGCCGAGTATGCCTGCAGCACCATGCACATCAGTTCCCAAGGCACCTGCGAGCTCTATGAGCGATCCGGGTGTTCGTGGATTGATGTCCATGATGCGAGGAAGACAGGCCGAGTTACCGGAAGACATGCAGAAGAAGGTGCAAGCCATGTTGCTCAAGTATGGCAAGCAGTCGACAAAGGATCTGCACGCAGCTGTCACAGCTTTGGACAAATCCCGCGAGGAGTATGATCAAGCTGTTATGGCCAGAAGCCAGCATCACGCATGCTGGAAGAAATTTCTTGCAGATGCAGTACAGATGTGGCAGTCCTATGCAGATCAGTTTGTCGAGCAAGAGCGGAAACTTCAAGAGCAGGTGACAGGGGCAAGAGAGACCTTTCTCATGGCCAAGTCCGAGCTCGAGAACGCCAAGCTAGATGCTGGGGAGGTCTTGCACCCTTCGGACGACGAGCTTGTGGAGGGCGAGAACGAGACCACAGCAGGGACCTCGATAGCCAGCAAGCTCACAGAGACTATGCAAGGTCTGGCAACATCTCTCCAGAACCTACACAAGGAAGCAGAGACTCTTGTGGAAGAGGATGCGCATGTGGCCAAAAGGCCTCGCACCGCACTTCGACCAGAAGATCACGACATGCCACAAGTGCCTGGCGATGGTTCATCGCATTTTGGCAAGGCTGGTTGAGTATGACTCCAGAGTATGCCAACCTGAAGCCGTGGCTGAGTTTTGACCACGTGCAACCTTCCCAAGTGCCAGTTGTCATGAAATGGACACATAGCATTCTCCAGGAAGAGAACTTTGTCAATGAATGCAGAGCCATTGAACAAGCGCGATCGTTAGCTTTTGAGCTTGGGGTTTACGACGGCGTTCATGGTCCTCATCTTGGCGAAGTGCGCACATCAGAATCTCGTCCATGCCGACCTGTGAGAAGATTAGGGGTTCATCCTTTCACAGACATCTTCATCGGCAGTGAGAACGACCTTACTATGTATTCCACCATTGTTTTGGAATCCTGCCTTGGACATGGACAGATGCCATGGGCAGCGGGGCTTCTGAGAGGAGGAGAGTTCTCTACCATCATGAAGCCAGAAGATGATTCAGCATCCTCATTCAGCGCTGTGTTTCTGCCAGAACACATCATGCCTACACTACATGTTCCCATTGTAGCAGTTCCCAAAGGTGATCCAATTCAGATGAAACCGAATCGACAAGAAGATCCACAAATGTTAGACCCGTCTGATGGCTCTGAAGGCGAACATCCACCAGGTCGGCAAAGAGATCCTCACAGACCACCATTGCGGTTCTTTCCTGCCTGGGTTACCCAATTGTGGGATTTACTACAAGCCGAAGGAGCAGTTGAGATGGAAGAGGAAGGTCCAGTTTTGTATTTGCAGTCCTTCTACATCAGTCACCGGCATCACCCTCACCAACACATTTCTCGACCATTGCGCATTGACCGAGATTATGTGGATTGGGAGAGAGATTTCCGTTTTGTCTGGGAAGACTTTGTAGATGAGAATGCACCAATGGACATTCATCTGGTACAGCCTGAGCACCCTCTTCCAGTTACAAGAGGCGTTGCAGCAACAGTGCTGCTCACACAACATCCTGTTCCCCGTCAAGTTGCTTGTGTTGTTTCTGCGATGTATGACGATATTCCTACAACCAGAAGAGTTGAGTCGGCACATTCCCTTGGACATCTCACCTCTCCCAGGGACTTCCTATGGCATGCAGGAGCTCTACAAGCTTGCGAAGAAGTACAACAACAAGGATATGGATTCTGCACTATCAAAGCTGGTCCTTTCGAGTTTGATCAGACCAGACCGATGCGCCTGGTAGATGGACTTGGCATTGTGGTCCGCATCCCTCCAAGGCTTATACGGACCAAGAGTGGGAAGCTATCTTCTGTTCGCGATTTCGTGCAGATCCTGTGCCTCAGATGCGCTTCCCAGAAGATGATGATGCCGTACATTTCATGGCACGCTCCAGTGCCCAGTTATTTGCAACATACCAAGCAGCCAGTTCATCCTCCACCACCAGAAGCAGGTCTGCAGCTTCCTCAGACCAATCCAATGTGGATGAGGGAGAGAACTGGCGTTTAGCGATTGTCTACACCGTAGATGGACAAGCAGTACAAGTTGATGTGCCCTGGACAGATGCTCACCTTCGAGTTCAAAAGATTGCGCAGGCTTTCTCCATCCCAATCCCAGAAGAGCAAGTCACACAGGTCTATCATGTAGCGGCTACTCCACAAGATCTGGCACAAGAAGAACTTGAGTGTTTTCTTCTTCAACGAGAACAGGACGTACCCAGCTCGACGCTGTTACGCCTGATCTTGGTTGACATTGAATACCGTCCAGATCATCGTGGTGCTGCAATGCGGATTGTACGCAGAGGTTTTTGGCTTCCACACAGGAGCAATGCCATCTCAATCATCAGACTTTTGGGGTATGAGGGACATTGTTCTCCCCGATACAGGAGATGTTCTCTTTGGCACAACCACCATGTGATTGACATTGAAGCCAATCATCTCTTACAGCTCTCCCATGGAGACTATGTCAGATTTCATCTACCATGGAGCCCGGACGATGACATGGACTATCTCTTTGGTCAAGAATGTCAACCTGCATCAGAGGAACATGCTGCCTTATTCCAAGTACAGGCGAGCATTATTATCACTGATGGAGGTCATTTTTCTGGAGCTTCGGCGCCGCACTGTCCCATTCAGATGAGATCCATTCGTGAGAGACGGCCACCTCGCGACCTTTTGCCCCATGCTCTTCAAGAGCAATTGCGAGCCCTCTGGGATCGGCCACATCTTCGGCAACGTTTTCCTGATCGCTCTGAAGTGATGCTCTTTGACACATGGTTTCTCAGCAATAGAGGATTCCATCGATGAAGTTCCCAGGCTGGCAGCTCTACCTCCAGATGTAAGCACGTGGATCAGCCACCTCCGGCATGTATGGTCTGACAGAGTTGATGCCATGCACATTGCAACAATTGTTCCAGTACAGCCAGGGACCTCAGATCAGCGACATGGAGGGCATCTGATTCTCCTGCAAGATATCCTACCTACACAAGCAGGCTGCCTTTTCAGCCGACTAGGTCCTGGCAGTCCTCAGGGACTACCAGTACGTTTTGCAGCCATCTTTGAACAACCCATGACAATTGAGCCGTTTCTCACTCAGACTGAAATGACTTATCTATGTGGACAGCCTCAGGTTATTTGCAGATTGGCTTGGGCGGGATTTTATCTACAGCCTGGCTTCTCGGTGCACATCCTTTCGGGCACACATCTTCAATTGTCAGTTGACACCATGAACATTGGGTATTCTAGCCAAGACAATGAGGACATCGTCATGATGCTTCAACAGCCCCATGTGCGCCCAACAGGTGAGCAGGTGGCTCATACTCACCGGCCATGGGGTCAACAGACACGACCACTTCAATGTAAACTACCTGAAGGCGGAGTTGCATCAGACAGGATCTACACCACTGACCAGCAGCCAGATCAACAGCCTCCAGAACATCCGGAGGGTTTCATTGAGCTCAGACTTGGAGATGTCAACCAATGCCTCACAGAGTTACGAGGTATTTGGGAACATCAGACCATTGAAGCTGAAGGTCATCTACAAGTCATGACCTGGTATGCTGACACAGAACGCTGGCCACGTTGCCCAGAAGCTCGTGCTGTCCAGCTGCCCAGTGATTTGTCCCAATGGATGACTCGGCTCATTGAAGCTTGGGACGATCGAGCAGATCCAGATGAAGTCTTCCATCTTCATATGATTCAGCCACAGCCACAGACAACTTTCTGGGAAGATCATCCAGCACCACACGTTTTGGTGATCCAGCAACCAATGCCAGATCGACGAAGTCTCCATTTTACTGCTTCCAACACAGAAAGATCTACCTCCCAACCTTTGCAATTCGTTGACACTCTTGCGCACCCAGCGACGCAGAGCAGCGTTTTACAGGCAGCAGGATGGGATGATCAACTTGGACTCCTACATCACATTCAGTATGAGATTTGGTGGGGAAATGACATCATCATGCAGGAAGGCTTTGCACATCTTCGTAATGGCAATGCGCTCACTGTGATTGCGCGACATCTCGATGACAACAGCCCACATTCTTCCATAGCTTCAGCAGATGCCACGGAAAATCATGTATCCCTGCTGCAGATCCAGGCAGTTCGTCAACCAGTCCAACTCACCTTGGAAAACCTACTGCCCATTGAGGAGGAGGAGATTGACTACCAGACTGCGGAGACAGCAACAGTGGCCATTCGCCTCATCAAGGGTGCAGAGATAGCTCCTCTACCAACTTATATTGAGTGCCAGTCTCCATGGTGCGAAAATGATGTTGTCACGGAGTTGCACTGTTGGGGTCACAGATGTGATGTATACCGATTTGGCGAACATGATGTTGCTCTGTTTTCCGAGCGGATGGAGTACAGAAGCAGGCATGAACCACTATATGCTCTGCCATACTGACACCACGGATCCAGAAGGCCAACTCCTCCACTCGCAGGCGAAAGTGATGACTGAAGTTGACCTGATGAGCTTTTTGTACGACTGTGGTTATTGGAGAGCACCCATCCAATCAGTAGAGTCTCTTGCGCCGGGGCTTTTCCGTGTCCAGTTCCTGAATGTGCAGGTTCAACAAGTCCAACACACCATTTGCAGCCGAGCCAAACCAGCATGGCCGGTCTGCACCCACCTGATTGGAGCACGAGGGCCTTACTTTACTCCAACAACTGATGTAGCTGGCGATGATTGTGTCATTGGTCTGGGCATTGCTCTTTATGACTTCATGAAACTGTTCACGTCCGCAGACGACATCTTATGCCGAGATCCAGCAGGACACGATTTTCCAGAAGTGACCAAGGCAGCTCTCAAGATGAGTGCATCTACGTGCCTTGATGACTATGATCGCATCATTGTGTACACAGATGGATCTTCCAAGGCGAAGGACAGGCACGGACCGCCAATCTGGAATGACGAGCAAGGCCATGGAGATTCCTGGGCTTTCGTTGTGGTAGGGGAGACCCTGACTGATGAAGAGCACAAAGTCGAAGTATTAGGTTGGACCACACAGCCGGTGATCTACGACCACCAAAGCGACCATTTCATTGGTGCTGATGGCATAGGATCGTACCTCGCCGAGAGGGAAGCCTTAGCCTGGGCTGCCATGTGGCGGCTCGCTCAGAATTCCAGAGTGGACACCTTATTTCGTAGTGACTCACTCACATCAACCAGACAAGCACTCGGGCTCATGGGCTGCTCGGAAAGAACTCTTTCCTTCAATACCTTTCGTGGATTATTCCAATCTCTAGAAGCAGCCCTTCCTCAAGGAGCTCTAGAAGTCGAGCATATCCACAGCCATACAGGTGAACCATTCAACGAAATGGCAGATTGGCTTGCACGCACTGAAAGAGAGAAAAGTTTCTACTACCCAAGACAACGTCTGGTCCTCGCGCAATGGCTTCCAATCATTCCTCATATGTGGACTTTGTTTAGCCAGGCGGATGGGCTACCTCCTCTTTGCGCAAATGGGCTTCATGCACCCACTCCTCAGCTGCCACCGTTGTCGAAACCCAAGCGGTGCACGGTGCAGGCCAATTCCTCTCACAGAGCAGGCAACTTTCATTTGAGTGCTGGCACGGCCAATGTCACCTCGCTCTACAATGGACCATGGGGTCATGCTGGGAAGACTGACTATCTGAGGCAGCAGTTTATCTCCCACAATTTGAACTTCCTTGGTTTGCAAGAAACACCGGCGCCAGAGACATTTGGACAGGTTGATGGAGTGCTACGGCTTGGTTCAGGTTCTGCAAAAGGACACTATGGCACTGAACTATGGGCGAACCTCAAGATCCCTTATGTATGGATCGGAAGACAGGCACACTACTTGAAGCCTAAGGACTTTCAAGTTCTTCATCGCGATCCAAGAATGCTTGCAGTCCAGATTGAAACACCCTACATGAAGCTCAAGATTCTAGTAGGGCATGCCCCACATTGTGGTCATTCTCTCCAAGAGCGTGAGCAATGGTGGCACACATTCTCCAATCATGCAAGACTCCGACATGGTTATGAGCGTTTGCTCGTTCTGATGGATGCCAACGCGGACCCAGGACCACGTGATGATTACGTAGTCTTCAAAGATGGCTTCTTATCCAATGAGAACACGCCTCTCTTGCAAGACTTTTTGACGGAACATGACCTTTGCCTCCCAGCGACGAGTGACTGTCATTGGGGGCCACATGACACTTGGGTGAGTCCGAATGGAGCACACCTTCACTGCCTTGATCATGTTGCCGTACAACAATAGACATGAGTGTACATACAGCTGCGTTTTGCAAGATCTTGATCTTGGCAATGGTTGCTGGGACCACAGTGCGACAGCGGTCCAGCTACAGTGGCATGAGCAATGTGACATTCCCCAAAAAGCCCCGCGGCTGAAGCCTTCTCCAACATATGACATCAATGGACTGCGCAGCAAACATGTTCAGCTGGCGATTGAAGAGTCTCCATCGGCCCCATGGACACAGGACATTGAGTCCCATGTTGATGAGTTCAATCATCACCTTCTCCATGGAGTTGCCAACCATTGTCCACAACCACAACGGGCCCCGAAGAAACCCATCTTCACAGCAGAGCTCTGGCAATTACGGGAGACAAAGTTAGCCACCAAGAAAGCGCTCAAGGACATCTCCAAGCGACAGAAACAAGAGATGTTACTGTTCTGCTTTTCAGCTCTTCGATCTCGAACTGCTATCTCCGTGGATGGTGGCTTCTTCTGGCAATACGACACATGGTTGCTGTGCAGCCGGGTCCGAGCATACTGCAAGTTCCACTGCAGTGCCAACCAATTGCGAGGAAGACTTCAGCATGCCAAATATGGGCAGCTCAAAGACATTTTGAGTGGCATGACTGCTACCACACCTGCAGCGAACATTTTGCACGAAGTCAAGAACCTCATTGGTCCAACAAATCTCAAGAAGGTCAAGGCCACAACCCTGCCCTATGTGAGGAATCATCAAGGACAAGTTTGTCAGAGTCCTACCGAAGCCCTGGACACCTGGATATCCTTTTTCCAAACGATGGAAGGCGGAGATCGCCTTGATGAGCATCAACAACGAATTGAATGGCTTGATAACCTCAAACGATTTTCTGCAACAGAGATCAATCTGCAACTCAGTGATCTTCCAAGCCTCACTGAGCTTGAAGCAGCCTATCGGAGAGTACAAGTTGCAAAGGCCACTGGGCCTGATCAAGTTGATGCCAGGCTTTGCCACCTTGCGCCAGCAGCCTTGGCTAAGAGGACATATGCCATCTTGCTCAAGACGTTCTTGCATGGCCATGAATGCTTGCTGCACAAGGGTGGTCGATTGCACCCCCTGTGGAAACAAAAGGGCGCGAAAGATCTTTGCGGATCCTTTCGCAGCATCTTGATATCGTCTCACATTGGTAAGTCGATACATCGTTGTCTGCGAGCTCATTCCGCCGACATCTTCGAGAAGTTCCTACAGAAGCAACAGCTGGGCGGAAAGCGCAAGATTCCGGTCACCTTAGGCGTCCATCAGGCGAGAGCCTACCTTCGGTCTCGCAAGCAGCAAGGGCTCAATGTGGGGATGGTGTTCCTAGATCTGTGCGAAGCGTTTTATCGCATCGTCAGAGAGATGGCAATGGGAGGCATTACAAGTGATGAGACCATTGCAAGGATGCGTCAACGGCTCAAATTGGGGCAGGATACCATGCGAGAATTGTATCAACACCTGGACAAGGCCTCCGCCATTGAAAGAGCGGGTATGCCCAAACACCTCCAAATGGTAGTCCAAGCTATCCATTCAGATACTCATTTTCATCTTCAAGGCCAACATGATCATTGCCGTACTCGACTTGGCACTCGGCCAGGAGACTGCTGGGCGGATTTCATCTTCAGCTTCCTCTGGGCACGTCTTTTACATGAGTTGGCGGATGAGCTCAAACCCCTTGACATTCTGGACTCCATCCCCCAACATGGTGGACTCAGATGTGAAGGGATTGCCGCAGACCCAGAAGACACTGAGATGACTGGTCGAGATGATTATCTTGGACCCACTTGGATGGACGACTCCTGTTTTTGCTTTGCTGCCACTGACCCATTGACGCTTGAGAGAAAGGCGGCCAATTTGTGCGGCTTGCTCATACAGAGATCCCAGTCCTATGCAATGACGCCCAATCTCCAACCGGGGAAGACAGCTGCGCTCTTGGTCTTTCAAGGTCATGGTGCAGCAGCTGCCAGGAAGCGATTCTTTGGCCCTCAAACGGACTCCAGTCTTCCAGTTTTACTTGAAGGAGGCGTTCAACGAGTGCAGGTGGTTGCCTCCTATGTGCACCTGGGAAGCCTCCTGCACCATCGGGGGGACATGCGACAAGAAGCACGACGCCGGTTCAGCATCGCTCAAGGAGCTTTCCAACACCACAGGAAAGTCCTCTATCAAAACAAACAGCTGCCTCTTCAGCGGCGAGCAGAACTCTTCCGCACACTCATCTTGAGTAAGTTTGTGTACGGATGCGACTCCTGGACGCTCATGGAGAAGCACACTCGACATTATGTGCATACCTCATTGATGAAGCTCTACCGACGTCTACTTCCTCAGGCATATATCAAATTGTACAGCGATGAAGAAGTTTTGCAGCTGACTGGCCTATCAGATCCGTCTGATTTGTTCCGACAGCAACGGTTGCGACATTTGGGGGCCCTCTACTCCTGTTCTGACTCAGTTCCTTGGGGGCTTCTCAATGCAGATACGGAATGGACGCAGTTGGTGAGGAGCGACCTTGAGTGGATGTGGTATCAACTTCGATCCTCATCCAAGCTTCCGGATCCGCATCACCACTTTGGTGCGTGGGTCAGTCTCATGAAAGACCACCGGCGCTACTGGAAGAAGTTAGTACGTCGAGCTGGTGATCATGCAGCAGCACAAAGAGACAATCTTTTCTCAGTGACTCAATTCCACAGAGCCATTTTGCAACAACTTCATCAAGCACAATGCCTTGTACAAGGACCACCGTCAGAAGTGCGCACATTGGCAGGGCCGGCTTATGGTTGTATGCAATGTCAAAGGAAGTTTGCATCTCGAGGTGGGTGTGGAGCGCACATGTTCAGAGCACATGGACACATTCACCCAGTCCGACGCCTATTTGACACGACGCAGTGTGGATGTTGCCTTCGAGAATTTCACAGCTATGGCAGGTTGAAAGCTCATCTAATTCGAGCAGACTACTGCCGACACAGCCTTCAGAGGCGCAATCATTATGTGGTTCCAGCGGCAGGCATTGGATCCAGTGAGAACGACCACCAAGAACGAATCCTGGATGGACTTCTCCCTCCTCTACCTGGCCATGGACCTCATTTACCTCAAGGGCGACATGGAGTGGCCTTGGACTATAATTTGATCATTTTTGAAGAGATCTACATGCGCATGCTCGAGGTCACTTCGGTTGCTGAAGGCGAAGCTGTACTGAGAGCGGTTGCTTCAGAGATTCCTACCACTTGGGAAGACTTCCGCCAGACGCTGCAAGCCTTGGTGCGTGAGGCCACTCCCGAAGATACGGCAGTACTGGGTATCAGTGCAGAGGATTTCTTTGGTATCTTGCGTAGATTTAGCCTTGAAGCGCAGTGGTCTTTCCTTTGTGAAGAAACCGAAATCGTAACTGAACATTGGCATCGAGAATTGCACGTCTTGGAAGATTTCTGCACTACGGAAGCGCAGACGACTCATTCACGTCAGGGACATGCAGGAGTTCCACGGGGCTTTGGAGCAGTTCGCTACGTGTTGCACGCATTTTCCGGCAGACGTCGCTGCGGAGACTTTCAGTTTTATTTTGATCGTTTAGCTGCATGTACAACTCTTTGTCATTTCACTCGATGTGGTCATAGACTCCACGTGGGGCGACATATCGCGACCGCAAACCAGAGACTTCTGGCTAGGCGCAATTCATGCTCGATGGGTGGTAGCCATTATTGGCGGTCCTCCTTGCGAGACCTGGTCGCAGGCCAGGGAACGCTCCATCGCAGATCATGCTTTTGCCCCAAGAGTTTTGCGCGTCCCGGAGACTCCGTGGGGCCATCCTTCACTCCGTTTGAAGGAACTGAGGCAGATCCGCGTGGGCAATGACCTCATGGGCTTCATCTTGGAAGCGGTCGTCATGCTCTATTGCGTTGGTGGTGTGGCAGCGCTTGAGCACCCGGCAGCGCCGACCTCTGAGGAATCTGTTTCCATTTGGCGGACACCGATTTTGGCCTTGCTTTTGTCTCTGCCAGGCATTGAACTTGTTTCATTGGCACAGGGTCTTTGGGGTGCAAATCCCCCAAGTTCAACGTCTTTTTTGCTTGTGAATGCGCCTGACATGAGACAAGCACTGCGCAAGTGGCAGATTACCCGAGAGTTACCAAAGGGTATCTCTATCGGAAGGGACCAAGCTGGAGGCTGGTCCACCTCAGTTTTGAAGGAATACCCGCCATCCCTGAACGGAGGCTTGGCTGAAGGTATCCTGGCTGCTATAGGACAGTGCGCGAGTGACCCATCTGTCACTGTTCCGATTAGCTTTGCGGACCGCTGTGCCTCCATGATGTGTGCAGAATATGGAGAACACATCGGTCCAGACTATGCCGGCTGACTTGGAATTTTCTTGCTTATTTCCTTCATTTGGCTTGATTGTTTGCTTGTTTGGTGCACTCTTTTTTCGAGTTGTTTCAATTTGCCATCTTATTTGATTCAGTCAGCGGCTGCTGCATGGTGGAACCGGCAGCACAGAATTGATGTGCAGGCCGCAGCGTCCAGTTACGCATCTGTGTGCCCGAGCCAAAACAAATATATTGATATTATGTAATATATGGACATCTGGACATCGATATGGACATCGATCCATATGGATCACTGATCCATTTCGGCCGTGATGGGGGCACCGGCAGCACCGTGCCGATCCGAGCTCCAGGCTGCCACCTGCGGCAGCGGTGCTTCTCGCAGGCGCCAGCGCTTCAAGACCCCGGCCTCAGCTCGGAACAGATCTGGGAAAATATGGAGATCCTTTTGGAGTCATGAGATACCAGTTTTCAGATGGAAAATTCTGTCAAATGGAAATTTCAAGAAAAGTTCAGCAGGAACCTTAAGCCCTTTCCGCATCTTCACGCAAAGTCAATCAACATTTCTCATGACCAAAGGGTTTTCTCTGTTTTTCTTTGCTTCAAATGCTGAGTTCCGTCGCAGTGTAGGAATGGCATCTGACCTGAAGGCACCCGAACCAAGGACCGAAAAGACCTACCTCTGAAGGCATTGCAGATCTTGCAGATCTTGCAGATCTTGCAGATCTTGCAGATCTTGCAGATCTTGCAGACTGCACTGTGTCTTTTCAAGAAAAGGCGAAAGGTTCAGGGGACAAATCAAGACGAAACGCTTGGATATTCGGAAGAGCGAGAGACGACTCCAGAGACCAAGTGAAGTTCAGCTCAGCGTTTCATAACTTGCAGCCTAGCGTCCCAGGTACCACCAGCCAAGCCACAGAGCACACCTGGCACAGCAAAGTTGAAACACATGGTGTTTTCATTTGTGAAACGATTCCCATTCTTTTCCATTCCCGTCATTCCCAAATATTCCCATGTTGAGACACACCTTCCGTGGAGATCTCCGTGCGCCTAAAACGATGTCGATGGCCAGCCGCATCACGGGATAGTCGGTGTCAACTCCTTCTCCCGGAAGCACGTTGGAGCCTCTGTCGTAGCCACGGCCCAATGATTCAGTTTTGTGAAATGGGGGATCCTATGAGATTATCGTACCAGATAATATCGGATCGTTAGATAATCAGAATATATCAAAACAATTCAAAACAGCTATCTTCTTGGGGAAAGTGATGATCAACCATGGGCTTTTGGGGTACCGTACCCCGTGGTGAACACCAAGTCATAGTCAACCAGCTGGAGACCAGTGAAAACCAAAAAAAAACTTGAAAGAATCGGTTTAGAATCAATGTTCAGAGGATCTCTCAGGATTCTTCACAGCTAGAGGCTGGAGCAATTTAATGCATGGAGAATCCAAGCACAAAAGGCAGTTATTTAAAGGTTATTTGAATATTTTTTGTTTTTTGTTGATGTTTGTTGTTTCATCATGTTTCATCATTTTGAGTCAATTTGGCTCACCCAATGTGGATCCGTTGAGGCCGTTGAGGCACTGATCAACGGCAGCAGCCGCACGGAGCCCGAGGTCAGCGTCCGTTCCACGGCGTAGGTGATGGCGCCCACCACCCCGGCCGTGAAGCAGCCCCAGTAGGCGAAGGCGTCGTAGGTCTGACACAGCTGACACGACGGGAAAACGACATGTGGGGTTTCACAAAGATGTCAAAGTGACGTAAAGTGACCACATCGTTGACCAATCGTGACCACCACATGAAATGCTGCTGATCTCTGCAATCTCTGCTGTGGATGATGAAAGAGTATGAAATAGTAGGAAATACTTAGCATTTTAAGTCCTTGTCTTACCGCAACAAATGACACATGATGTGAATCTGGAGATTGATCACACGGCAATCGCCTGCGGCAACATCAACTCCAAAGCAAAGATCACGCCACCTGCAATGTCTGGCAACAAGGCGACGCCCAAGTGTGGAGTTGTTGTGGATGCAAACGAAGGGTGGAAGCACCAACATATCTCCGAACACGTTGCAACAGCATGCAACAGTTGCTGCTTCAACTCTCCAGTCATCGAAAATGAAATGGAAATGTTGAAAAGAAGAAAAGTTATCAAAGGATACTTTATTGAATGTTGCTCCTGTTATCAGCTTCATTGTCTTCATTCTCTACCTTCATCATCCTTCATCTATATCTCCACGATTCTCCAGGTCTCAATTCATCTTTCTTCAGTCTCTTCATCCACGTCTTCATCTTTCCAACTCTTCATCTCTTCCAAAGTCTCTTTGTCCAAGGCAAGGTGCTCACGTGTTCACAAACAAATCCATCTTGCCTTTGTCCGAGGCACCACAGGCACCAACACAATCCATCTAAGTGGAAAACCTTTTGCTCATCTAAAACATGCAAAACATCTAAGAAATATATAGAAATATCCCATCAAAAATGGTTCCCCACCAATCATCAACAACCAAATCACGAGCACATAGCGACCGCATGAAATGACATGAAATGACATGAAATGACATGAAATGACATGAAATGACATGAAATGACATGAAATGATACCATTTGGGGAGTTCAACAAGTTTCAACAAGGTTCCCGCCGCACCGATGGGCGCGGAGAAGGAGGCGCCGACGCCCACGGAGCACGCGGCCAGCAGCAGCTTCGACACCGCGGAGCCCACGCCGCTGCCACCAGCGCCGTGGGCGCCGTGGGAACTCTGGACGCGTTTCTCGAAGAAGGACGGGTGAATCACACGGGCGATGCAGGCCTTGGACAGGGCCAGAACTGGAACTATGGAGAACTATGGGGTACCAGAGAACTATGGAAATATCGGAAGTTGGGAAATTTCCAGACCTTGGAAATCTCTGGAACCAAGGCTCCCACTGCCAGGTGAACATTGGGGCCCTCCTCAGGCTCACCGTCAAGAGAACATGTAGAGAAAATGTAGGGAAAATGTGGTTATCCTCAAAGAGATGCAGAAGTTTGTTCAGTTTCACCCAAATTTTGACCTTCATGTTCACCATACACGGTCGTAGCAGGTCGTAACTGGTCGTAACTGGTCGTAACTGGTCGTAACCGTCATCGTCTCATGTCGTCTCCTTGCCCAAGGGCAAACCGGCCCCAACGCCCAGCGAAAGCGCCAGGGCTTTGGAGATCAACCTGAGACATTTCACGTGACGAGACACTTCGAGACACCCAAGAGATCCCAAGAGATGCAAAGAGATGTGACACCTGAGACACGTTTTGACAAATTTGACGGATTTGACTTCTCCTCATGTTTCTGTTCTTGAAACATTTGAAGTGGTATTAAGTGCAGTTTGGACTGAAGGTTGCCAATGTTGCCATTCAATTGGATTGCACTTAATCAAACAAATTGCCACTCCAAAACAAAGAAACTTGAGGTGAGTTGAGGTGAAACTTGAGGTGAATCTGAGGGTCGCACACTCGGAGGGTCAGGTAATTGAAAAGCACCTTTCCAAAGAGCATCGCCTGTGACACTCTTGTGACACTCTTGTGACACTCTTGTGACACTCTTGTGACACTCTTGTGACACTCTTGTGACATGGAATGCTTCAAAGGGGTTGATAAAGGGGTTGATATCAATACAACATCATACAAGCTGCATACAAGGAAAGGTTGAGATATCACCAAAATCGTCCAGTTCTTTACAAATCTTATCAAAGAAATCCTAAATCATCAATCAAATATGTCTCATATACTTGTCATATGGTTATATATTCTCAAAAAAAATGTGTGCAAGCACTACAGTCTGATGTCGTGGTGACCCGTCGCACCTTCATCTCGGGAAAACCGCTCCCTTCGGCTTCCATCTCAGCAGCCAGTCAGCTGCCCAGCTCAGTGTTTATAGTGACTACACTGGATGTTCAAACCATGCTACCATGTCGTGAGTCGTTAGTCAATAGTGAGTACAATAAGGCCACTCTGGCTTGCCCCCTTGTATATAATACCGTTGGGTGTTTGCAGCCACCCAAAAAAAACACGCCTAAATCCCAAAATCCTAAAATCCTCGACTCATTGATTCAAAAGATGAATCCTGAGTTGTGTAACAGCACTCTTGAGTGTCCGGACCGTGGGTCTGACGATGATGCGAGCCAAACACGCCAAGCCCACGTTGAAGCCTATGGCTTTCAACCTCAGATTGGCAACAGACATGATATCACGTGATCAGGCAACAACCATCCAACCATCCAATTCTCCATTCATTTTTCATCATTTATCATCATTTATCATCATTTATCATCATTTATCCAACCATTCAACGCAAGACACCAAGGGAACCAGTGGAAACAGATGGAAACTGGAGGGATTCTCCAGAAAATTCCGCCGCTCAAAAGCCGATCTGCCATGGCACGGCGCTCCGAGCGTCAGGGTGTGGCGAAGGAGGCCCGCCGCCCAGGTGAAACGGTCGATGAGGAAACTCAGCGAACTCGACAGGATCTCGGCACCAAACGAACGTTTCGGAGAAATATTTCGATAAATGGGATGAGACTCGGGATGAGACTCGGGATGAGACTTGGATTTACCAGAATTTGAGATTTGAATATCGAAAAAGGTGAATTTTACCATGACATGTGGTGATACAAGTAGTGATTTATTTTGACAATCTGAAGTGGAGATTTAGTCACAACTTGTGATTTCAACATTGGCAAAATGCTTCAAGATGCTATGTACCCATCAAAGTGCTGCCACCAATGCGACCATATTACCGATGTTGATATGGATATGAACTGGGGCACGAAAAATTGTGTTGACATGCAAACCAGTGCACCAGGGATTTGAACCATACTGCCCATTCCCTGATGATGATGGATATATGTTAATGGGTATGTTTGATCAATTAGTTTAAGGTCTAGAAATGGCGCAGATCTGTTTTTTGGTTGAAATGACAAAATGACGCGGGATTTTTTTGTTGGATTTTTGGAGTGCGACCAACACAAATGGTCGTGAGTCGTAATTCACCTTGTTACCTTCTCAATCCCAAAGATGAGAAACAGTCACAACCAAATTCCGTCCTGTGTTCATCCAGCATTAAGGTCAGACTGTGCCCCAAACTGCAGTCACAATCAAGAGCAGCCAAAAATTCCTCAGGATGCTTTTCTCCTGGCAAGTCCGGAAATTGTTGGCATGTACGGCATGTCGATGTATGTCGATGACGTATATGGATCATGTTGTCATGTTGCTCAATCGAAAGCTCGCCTGGACTTGCAAATCTTCACACCTCTGGTGATGCGCATCGTCAATCACAACAGCTTGTGTTCCCTGGGGCGAAACAAATCGAAACGACATCCACAGAATCCACAGCTCGGGATCACCCACTTTCAGCGAAATAGGTCCCTGAATGAAACAATGACATATCATGATCCTGTCTCCTCATATTTCATCGTGTTTCTTTGTCACTTCAGCATTTCACCCATCTTTGCAAGGACATTGAACAATCATTGAATTCTGTCACACGTGCAATGACACTTTCGTCTCACCAGGGTGGCCGCACCTTTCGGAACAACCTTGCCATGTTCGAAAGAGGTGTCTTGGTCGGAGAAGCCTCAGAACGAAACATGCAAATGTTGACCATGCAAATTTCCACCATTTTGGTTGTCTCTAAAGCAAAATCCTTCAGATGTATGTCAACTCGTCATTTTGACACTGTCAACTTCCGAGTTGTAGGACAGGGTAGCTGGGATAGCCGCCATCCTGCGAACAAGATTTTGATGACGTTCAAAATCAACGTGCTGAAAATTATCATAACAGCACCAGTTCGTTCCGTTTCAAAAAGCAAGAACAATGCCCACAGGCAACTCGGACCTTCCCCTCAGGCAGCGTGAGGCCTGCCAAGAGCACCACGTAAAGATTTCGACAACTGGTTCAATCAAACATCGAAATCATCAACATCAATTAGAATCATCAAATGCTGCCAAAGGTCATGTTCAAAGTTCTGTGAACATCAAACATGCCAAAGGGTTCCTGGCGCTTTTGGCATGCTGTCGCGGGCTCGGGCTATCTAAGCTCCAACGGCAGCGCGGCATGTGAGACCACCATGAAACCTGTCCTGACATGCTAGATCCAAAACAACATGCCCTCGTGGGCTGAAGCAGAAGCACCAAATCGACCGAATGAAACAAGGACAGCCTCAGGAGATAACAATCCTGTTGTCATATCTTCATATGTTCCATGGATCCCCTCGCAGTGAATTGTGGCTGCTGGTAGCAGCATGTGAGTGTTCGATGCTGGAATAGGGTTGTGTCTGCATTGGGTTCTCTTTGACAGCACTTGTGATCAACTGAGGCAAATAGAGTACACATCGCAAACTAAACTGGATTTCGAACAGTTGACCGACTTGATCGTGTTGCCAGAGAGTTGCATCTTCTATCCTGCACCACACAGCGTTGGTCTTTCTTGCAGGGTAGCTCTCTGAAGATCTCATATATCCGTTGTTATCCGTTCATCCCTTCTCAACCTGAAGATGTCCAACTTTAGACTAGGAAAAAATTGTCGGTTTCAAAAATGTTTCGGTATACCTTTTCCGGTTCTGTTCTGCAGTCGACCTTGGTGAGAGCAAACCCGGCAGTTTCTTTTAAAGTTCACCCCGTCAGTGGCCCACATCTTTCAGAATCAATGCCTCAGTTCGGGAAACTAGGCATAGATTTCGGTGAGAAACGAGCTGAAAACTGTTTCAAAGGATCAGAAAACTTGAAACTAATTAGTCTGCTTGGTATCCTCTTAGGTCCCTTTTTTGGCTAAGATGCTGACGTTTGGCCATCTCCGAGTTGCGGAGGCCGCAGAGAGACGGAATGAAAATTGGATGACAATGATGAAAAACAACAACATTTGAAGAATCACCTACCGTTAATCCCTCCATCACTTTGATGCCATGTTCAATGAACAGTTGATCCATCAATCAATACGATTTCGAAAGTATGAGAAACGGCAACTTGCAGCTGACAGAAGTGCAGAATATTTCAAAATTCAGCTGCTCAGAACAATGCATCAAAGCGTTTCCTCGGCTGAAACTGATTCAAAGGGATCGATTTTTCAGGCTGAAACTCCCAAGTCAAATGCCATTTGGAACCTGGAGCCATCGATAAGGTTGCGCAGGTGCAAGAAACTACACAAAATCCACCCTGAGACTGGCTCCTTTGCAGAAAGACCTGTCGTCTCTTGCAGTGGCAAATCCACGTGTGCTCTATACCAAAACCATGCGTAGTCTTGGGGAGGGAGGAATCTAGGTCACTCTATATCTTATTGTTATATGCGGTTGTGCAGATAGCACATCACATGCAATGGCATGCCCCAGCACTTCACAACATGCACAAAAATTTGTGCGCTCTACCGACAACGTGCGCTCAAGAAAATCAAGCTGCTACACGGGTGACCTGTGGCGCTAAGGTAGATCCAAGGGTCCGGTAGGTTACCCGAAAGGTATCGGCCTGTGTCCCTGTGTCCCAACGCAGGTTATGAGCCCAAGGGTTCACTGGTGCTGACGCAATGGACCTGCGCCGACGACGAGAAGAAGCTGCTGCTGGGTAGCATGTGGTGATGCAATCAGCGCAGGTGGCAGGTGATGGTGGGAGCTCGCAATCACTGCAGGTGGCAGGTGGTGGTGGGTCCTCGCAATCAATGCTGGTGCCTGGTGGTGCAACTGCAACAGGGGCTTCTGCGGCTGTGGCTGTGGCTGACAAGACAGCCGACCAAATGCTGGATGAAACTGCTGGAGAACCTCAACAAGGATGATCCCCCTGCAGCATCTGGTGCTGGGGTGAAGTCAGTCGGGGCCACTGAGGCTGCCGGGTCTGGCACTGCAATGGGGCTTTCGCCGGAGCAGCGGAGGTGGTTGGTCAATGCCGCTGAGGCTATGAGGACTGGCCAGGCTGTCGCGCCCTTGGCACTGCTTGCGAATGCGCCTGAGGTGCAAACTTTGGTGCCGGTGGGAGGAGCTGGACAAAGGCCAGGCATCGTCAAGCTGGACACCAAGGAGGTGATGACCAGGGACATCATGGTGGAATGTTCAAGGTCTCCAGGGAGGGGATGGGCTTCAAGGTGCTGGTGTACGGGGTGACGATCCGGGACAAGGACCTGAAGTAGATCAAAGAGATCAAGCTGGTGGTGGTCGACTCTTGGGGCCGCTCACTACCTGCTGGACCTCCTCGTGATGCTACTCTTGCTCTACGGCCTTGTGATCTTCTACCTCTACCCAATGGTTCTCCTCGAGCTCT